CTCTTCTCTTACCAAATGTCTCTGCATCAGATGGTCCAAAAGGAGAACATGCAGCAGATCTTGAGGGACAACGTAAACAGCAGATACCCTCTACATGTTCATTTCAATTCCAGCTCTGCAATGGAAGTCCAAGTTATTTTATACGGTGACACTTTCCTTACCCAGTCAGTAGTTACCCTCTTAGTACCTGGCTGCCCATTTCTAGGTCAGTAAAGAAAAAATGATCAGATTAATATTAATTTCTTCTCTTCAGCTTTACTAAAAGCTTTCCTAACACTCTTCTTCCTGTGAAATTTAAGGTATAAAATCCCACATGGCAGGCCAGGCGTTTCTGGTGCCACCACAAACGTGCCCCAGAGCCTGGTTTCGCCCTGCAGCTCTGCCAGTCTGCCAAGGCATGGGCAGGACCATGCCTAGGATGAGGCTGTCACTTCACTGGACAGCACGTCCTCTTTTTGGATGCAAGAAGTGGTTACTGGCAGGTCAGGACTCCTGGGAAGAGGTTTCCTTCTCTCTAGCTCCCTGCCACCAAGAGCAGGCATGGTGACCCATCCTACCCCGACATCTTTGAAGGTTTCAGCGAGCATGTTATTCACCTAACGCCTCACACATTTTCACAATAGGAAGCCTCCCTGGCCTGTGATACAGCGCTGAATTACAAACCCTAAGCTGCTCTATTTGCACAGCTGAAGACACACTGGGGAAATCACATCTTTGAGCCAAAACCCACAACATATTTGCTGTCATGATGGCAGAGCAGTTTTTTAAAGTTAGTAATAACATGACAAGTCAGTCATCAGCAACAGCAGCCTGACAAAATACTGCAATTTACAGCTCTGCTAGTTCAGGGGAACTATTATTTTTGTAAAGATTGTCTGATGTTTTCTGAATTCTGCTAGAATATGAAGTTTTCTTTCCAAAAGCAGCACGGGATGGGGATAAGAGAGAGAAGGGTTTCTTTTAAGCAACAGAGAGACTAGTATTTGGTAAGTCAAAAGATCATGTGTGTAAACGTTTGATTTATTAAACTATTGTACCTGAATGACCTGGTGTAAGGGCAGGCTGTAGTTCTTCAGCCATTTTGGTTGCCAAGTTCACTTGGCTAGACAACAGCCATGAAGTTCTGTCATCACAAACACTCCTGTGTTTGCATTTCCATATTTAAGTGGACTGCTATATACAGCACAGAGATGGAAGAAAGCCTGCTATTGTCTACAAAGGACAGATGCATATGTAGTGCACAATAATGCTGAAATCAGAGGAGATGGATGGAGGAAGGGGTTTCCTGGCTTATAATTCACTGATACATGCTGATAGGGCTGAGCATTAAAACCCTTCTTCACAAATACACTTTGCTTCCAAGTCTAGTTTTTAGCTACCAGCTCATAGGAAGCTTTAGATAAGTCAGACACCACCTTTCCCTCCCCCAAGAAAGTATATTTAAACCCTTCCCTTTCAAACAATAAAGCAAACTTCTGGCAAATGGAATCATGTCAGTATGGCCTTTCTGATATGAGATGCAAGGAGAAGAGCTTGGCATAGATAAATCTTTCTGAAACCTGAAGGTATATTTACAATGGATGAGCCATCACACCAGATCACCTCCTTTTCAGCGAAGTAACACTGCTGCTGAAGCAGTCCATCTTAGCTATCCCTGCTGCTGCAGCAGCTACTTCCCTTGGTAAATCAAGTTATCTGAGATGAACAGAGGGTACCAATTCTATTTTGATGGATAAGTACCAGCTGTGTAAAAGACTTCACGCTAAATATGCACCCAAACACTGAAGGATATAGTATTTCCTAGGCATCTTTCAGGAATTAAATTTATATCAGCGTTACAGCACCACAAGCTTTGCTGCAGTAAAAAGAGGGTTTCTGAAACTGAGTGCTCAAATTTGAGCTTCCAAAGAGGAAGGGTCTGCTGAAAGGCGACCTGAATCACAAACATTTACCCAGTATACACCACCACCTTTTTATTGAGGAAAAATACACAAAAGACTGAAAAGCTCCTGTTCAAGTTAATCAAACATTTTCATTTGTGACTGATGAAATCCAGCATCTGTAAGCAGAAACCCTGGTGCAGACTGTTGGTGACTCTGGATGGCACTTGTCACAGTCCCAGTTTGCAATACCAAACAGTGTGCAATGCCCATCAATCACACAGATCAGCGGCCACCCAGAGTCTCCCTGAAAGAAGGAAAAGAAGAAGGGGAGAGAAGGAGAAAGCAAGGACTTATCACCTGTCAGCAGTGTCAAAAACATCCAAATCCAGGAAGCTAGAGGAAAGCATGGCTTTGGGTGCTGGTTGTGTGCAGTGCAGCATTCCCACCCCCTCGGTTACATACCGTGCAAAAAGCTGCTTCTACAGCGCTTCCGCAGACATTGGTCTCTTCAATATTTTGTCCTCAGTACTTCGCACAGGCGTTGTGGGAGAGGAAAGAGATCTCTGCTTGTTGGAGCCTGGCAGCCAGTTCTTCCTGTGGGAAATGCAACAGTAATAGGCTGCAGAGGTAGGAGTCACAGCCCTGTAACTGCTCCTGGTAGCCATTCAGCATACTTTTGGGGGCAGACCCCAGCCTGGGGATTACTTCCCTTTGCACATCTGTTATCCACATATTACATATATATTACACAAAACAGTATTTCCTATGCTTCAGGAGAAGGAGTCTCTCTCCAGCCAGTTGTGTGGAGCCACCTTGGCTTTTGCAGTCAGTGCAGCCTGGAGCAGGACCCTCTGAAGCTGGGGGATCTGCAGCTGGCAGGGCAAACCAAGGCCATCAGCCAGGAGCAGTAACAGGGTGGCAGTCACCAGCGGAAAGTCTGCATGACACATTAAGCCCTATAGTCCCCATACCTCTCCCTTATCTCTTGCAGGGGTCACCAAGACCAGAAGGGTTGGGACAAGTCCCTAAGGGAGGGCAGCACACCACCAGGGACAACAACCTCTTACAGGGCACGGATGAGCACTCACAAACCTCCTGGCAGCATCCCCAAGTCCTTCATCACCCCACTGGCTTTCCTGGATTAACCTCCAGCCAGCTAGTAGGATGCTTTCTTGCCGCTGTCTGTGCCAGACTTTGGCCGCGGGTCGGTCAGACGGGACGCGGGGAGGCAGCTCTGCGCAGGCTGCAGTCAGGCACACGTACCCCACGTCTCCGACCAGGGGGGCAGTGGCTGTTTTCAATGAGGGGGTTGTACAGCTCTCTTCAAATTGAAGGTGGGGGGGGACTGGTTTCTCCTCCCCAGCCACCAAGCTGTCCCAAGGAGACACTGTCACCAGGAGGTATCTGACCATGCTGCCGAGCAGCAGGGGTGACATGGGCCAGAGGCCCCAGGCATTGAGACACCCCGAGAGTGATCTCATCTCCCTCCAGCTCATTCCCCTTTGCTTAGCCTCCACCTTGGCCTTGCCTTTCCCAAAGTGGCACCTTTCTGACAGAAGAGGCCGCAGGGCTGCTATCTGGAAAATGTTTCACATGTTGCAGGCAACACTTAAGGATCTGGGGAGTCTCTGCTGTCACTGCCCTTGATAGGCCATAGGGGCTCTTTCATGTCAGAGTAACCTGTACTTACTGCCAGCTCCTGCCTCTCCCCATCCCCACTGTTAAGCATCTTGCAGCAGTGCTTGCTTCCTCCCCGCTGCCTGGTAAGCAAGTTGTTGCCACAGGACTGCCTGTGTTGGAAAGCAAATTCCCACTGACACCAGATACAGCTTCCCTGCTCTTACTTCTGTCAGCCCCCTGCTTTTCTTGCCTCTTAACTCACTGCTTCATTTCCCCCTCCTCCTAAATGTCTCATAACAAGACTGCAAAACAGATGAGACAGAGCTTTAATAATGTATATGTTCCCTCGCTGTACTCCCTGGATGCCTGACAGCGCTGTTTTAATGAGTCAAATCTGGCTTTTTCCTAATACCACTGTCTGAGGCCATAGTACAGTCAAACTGAACATCTTTTGAAGGCTGTTTTTAAGAAGATGAGAGAGGAGACCCTCCAAAGAGGCACGGATCCAGGGGGGTGAGGGAAGACACTTTCCTCAGGGCAGTTTGTCCCAGGACCTCACTCCTTGAGTGGGGAAGCCTCCCATCACTAGTGCATGTAGTTAGGCAGTTCTTGGAAGGACTATGGCATTTTCTTTGTGGATACTATTAACAGGACATGGTGAGACCCATATGCTTATATAGCCTCCTTATTCACATGCTCTGTTCTTGTGCACCAGCTTTATTTAGATCACATTTCCCCACTGCTTAACTTTTGTCTTCAGTTCTTCCACTTCCCTTCCCCCAAGTCCTGCCCCAAGTTGCACATAACAAACTGGAAGGAATAACCTCTCTCAGCTCTATCCAAGCTTTGCACTTTATTGTACAAAATCTAGATTACATACTGCTGCAAAATATTCCTCTAACAAGAATGTTCTGTGGTTTAGATAGAGGGTTCAGGCAACTTAAAAGCTTTTTCTTTAAATTTCAGCCACTGCTATCTCAGACATTACTTTGCTACCAGCACAGAAGTGCGTATCATATTAGTGCTGTGCCTACCAGTCTTTATGGATGAAAAAAAGTAAGAACGGCTCCCTTGGGCCATGCACGCTCATTTTTGGCTCATTAACTTTAATGGTCATAGTACAGCTGTGACAGGTTGGGAAGACAGTTTGGGAAGACAGGTAGAAAAGGTGATCTTTGCTATTCTCTAGATCATGTCTAGCCTACACTTATATCTTAAAGTCACAGACAGGTCTGCTTGGAGAGGCCTGATTCAAAGCCTGTTGACAACAGCAGAAGCATTCCTAACCCTCATGCTGTATTTTAACCAGATAATAGGAAGCAAGCCTCCCCAAGGCTCCGTGTTCATTTCACTGTTAGCATCCCTTACTATGTAAGACACAGAAATGCCCTCCCACCCGCCTCCCCGCACACATACTAAACACTGTGCCCCATGTCAGAGTCTTACAATAATCATTAACCCCAACACAGCTGAATACGATGGGGTTCCAAACAGTACCTGGCTCAGCAGGTTTCTGCAGCTCCAGGAGTGCCAGGCCACTTCTGAAAGGAAATCCACCAAAGCCATAGTGCATGTGCACGGCTTTCACAAGCACGGGGTTGTCATCCTTCACATTTGGCAACAAGTATTTTTTCCCCAGAACTGTTCTGAGCACTGGGCAAGGAAGAAGGAGAACAAATACATTTTTCAGTCTAAAAAAACCCCATAGTTCAGACAACAGAAGAGTCCAAAGTTCACTTGTAACATTTGCTGCCAAGCAACGCTCATGCTTCAAGACTTATAACCTGACATCACAGGGAGACTTTGGGGAATCCCAGTTGAGGTATCAGTGTTTGTGCTGTGCTGACAGAGAACTTCAACTTGCACCTCCAAAGGTTTGCTGCTGTTACAATTAACACAGAACGTCCAGAGGCGAGTCAGTCGTTCACCTTCTCAGGAACCAGACCCCAACATAAATGGAGCTTACATCAGAGCTACGGATCTGGGCTGTGTAACTAGTTTGATAAAACTTTCGAGATCTGTGCCATTATGATGGGTGTCTACACACAACAGAGATGAATGTTCAAGAGTAGCATGCGGTACCTCAGCCTAATTGAGGCAAGTAAGTACATAATGAGGGGCCAGAGACAGAATACAGGCATCAGCAGGTTTTGGGGGTGGCAGGGGACTCCATCTCTACTGCCACCATTGCTAGCAGCACAGGATGCTACACAGGAAGGTTTAAGCTGGTGGAGGGCAGCTCTGGATATATGTCAACATGTGGGAAACAGTAAGCCTATCTGTATTTGCCAGGACTGACAAGATGGCTTAGACATTGTCCTGTCTGGAGGCTAGCAAGCCCTCAATGCTCTGGGGTGAAAGGACATTGCCCATCTGAAGTTGCAGTGTGCAGCTGTCAGGACCCATTTTTCATCAGTTAGAAAGCCTCCACAGAAGTGTTGATCCTCATACTGCAGGCTTTATGCCAGGGCCAGGACACCAGGGATGACCAGCCACTTTCACCCATCCTGGGCTTCCTGCATGGGTCCGCCAGTGATTCTGTACTTGTTGCACGCCCCATCCCAGGGAATGGATCTGCTACTAGAAATCCACATTTCTCTGGAATTATTTCCTCATTGTTAGTGACTATTTTTTGGGGTGTGGTGGGGGTTTTTTTGGTTGTTGTTAAAGAAAATTGGTCACAGCTGGACAAACTGATATGCGCCAACATGAAAGCAGACAGCTCCAACAAGCACCAGACTTGTTCTGGACAGCCGTGTCCACCAAAGGTTCCACAATAGCCCTCTGGTGGGATTGAAGTGTCTATATTTGAGATAGTTGGGAAAGCTTTGCTCTAATTTTCCCTTCAAAAGAGCAGAAGTTATCCATACATGCTATACCAAAAAATAAAGACCTCAACTAATACCAGTTGAGGAAGGACTTGAATCTTGATGTCCCAGATATGTACAGGCTGGCAACATGTCCTGGGTAAGCAGCTTGCCACAGATTTTTCGGGAAGTCACATTCTGCAGGTGAGAAGTATTTCCTGACCTTTTTTTCAGTCAAAATGATATTTAACAAGTGTTTCCATTACAGTAAGTCTTCATTTTCCAAAATTAGCTCACTAAAGTGTTCCCAACTGTCTCCAGTAACAGCAAATTAAGCAGTGCATAAATAACCTACATCCCACCACCAGCAGCCTTCACCGATCACAAGAGATGTTAGCCTGAGAAAGGAAAGAAACAAAACTAGAAGTGAACTGTTTTTACTTTCCTCAGAAACTGGTAATACAGAGGATGAGTCTAGGGGGAAAAAAGGTTTAACAGAAAATAAGTCCATTAAAAGCTTGTCATGGGTAGAGCTGGTTCGGAGAAACCTACTGAGAATTTTAAGGGCTGAGGTACAACACATCCCCTATTTGCCCTCTTTCAGTGGCACTCTGGATCACATCATGGGAACTAACCGTTTTATAGTAGGGTCCCTCCACCCCTTCTGTGTGCCCCGGGAAAAGGCACAACCCTCCTGTAAAAGCAGCCAAGCTCTCAAGCAGAAGTTAGCACAAATAGATTAAACTGTTTGGCTTTCTGCTTCCTGTTTATAGTGTCGGGTTCCAGACAGTGGTTATTAATTAATCAGAGGTCAGTTACATGCTGAGACCACTCATTCCTCCCAATACGCATCTGTTCTAAACAAAAGCAAGCCAACGCAAAAACTAGCTTAAATAAACAGTCATTCTTCAGGGATGTTTCTGTATTTGGCTCGGTGACAGTACGAACTGCAGAGATGTGAGGACTACCACCTAGCGTGACGTGCCTGGGGTGAGCACTGAATTAACTTGCTGCAGTTTTGGATACATCAGAACACAGAAGAGTATCTTGAAGTGATCTCAGACAATAGCTGTAGGGGAAGCACATTCAGCAAATAAACATTACGAATGTCCCTGCCTGTAACCTTCAATACTATTTTAACAAAAGAATTGCTTTGTGGCATAGGCAGAGAAAGATCCAGAGCCTTACTTACATTGGCTGCTGCCTTCCAGCTCTTTTTGTGTTGGCTGCTGAATCAACTCTTCAAGAAGGATTTTGAAGCCTCTGTATCCCACAGATTCATCAGCTTTGAAATGCAGGGTCAGGAAGCTGCTGTTGGAGAACATGCTAAAAGGTTTTTCTGGCCAAATAAGTTTGCTGGTAGGGGGAAGAAAAAAACCACTGCAGTTGTAGTCATTGCCAAGTAGTTTGAGACACAGCCTCTATACTTATTACCAGGGACAGACATTTTAATCCAAGCCATTTGATACTCAAAGATATTAGTGGATGCCAAGATTTCTCTGAGGTCTTTCAAGAGGTACCTCTCTAGTGGCCTATGCAATATCACTCCCTACCCAGGCTGAAGAGGTGAAGCCTAGTGCAATGGCCAAATTGTTCTCATGCTCTATATGAGTGCCTCTCATACTTTAGTGAAATTACTTCAATAACCAGTTTTCGTGTCTACATACATGGGGAGAAGAGAACTAGGAAGGTGTGAAGCCATTCCAGTGAACATTTCTGTACCCAAAGATCCCGATGTCTGTATGGCACAAGGCAGCTTTGGTACTCGCAGCTAGATAGTAAATGAACATGTACCCAGAAGCCTTGAAGAGCTATGTGGTCCATCATAAATACTCAAATGATCCCAGATGCAATTCCTTTGCATCCTCAGTTACAAAATCTTTAAGCACAGCCTTCAGCTTGTTTCCTGAAGTAGCATAAGTTGTCCAAGTGCAGTTCAGCATGTCAGGGTAAATGCCAGGGTAATTGGGAGATGTTACTTCAGTGACTTCAACTAGAATTAGATCAAAGGCTGGGCACTCTTAAAAGAAAAAGGTAAAACAATCATATCACAAACCCCCCCCCTGTTTCTGCATTAATTTCCTTGAGCAGGCCTGTTAATATTGGAGAAAGCAGAGATCTTAATATTGGATTTTAAGTTCTGCTGGTTAGTGAAAATTTGCATGGCTTCAAAGCACAAGTTCTACATGCCATTTACATAGAGAACTGTTCAACCAGGAAAAGGGCTATAGACTTGGGAAACTACTTGTGATCTAGAGTGATCTAGAGGCCAGGCACAGAGACCTTACATACAGGATCACTTGAATAATCCTTCCTAATGGGCCAAACTCAAACTTAAAAATTCATTAGCCGCTCCTAAAGTGCTTACATAGATGTTTCTTTCACCTTGCATTTATAATTGCCACAAAGCTGATCAAAATGCAGAATGCCATGTTGTAGGCATGTTAGCATTTTATTACATGTTTCTGTGGAATAGTCTACTTTGTTTTCAGGGGTTCCATAAATAAAACAGTCTACCAGCACACCCCAGTTTACTGGGGTGAAAGGAGAGCAGGGCTGACAGCATACTTCCTGGGGTGATGAGAGAGAGGAGACTGAGCCTGCTGGAAACACGAAAGGTGTAGAAGCTTGATGAGGCTTTTAAACTTCCACCTTGAGGGTCCCCCTGGCTGAACAGCTGGGAACATGCTTCAGGCAGGCTGGTCAGCCTGGCTAAAGTTCAAGTCCTCACACAAAATGCAGAGACAGGTTCAAGGATCTTGGATCGGATCCAACGCATTTGAGATTGTTGGAATTAGCTAAGGTTTGGGGGTTTTTGGTGGGGTTTTGTTTTGGTTGGTTTTGTGTGGTTTTTCTCCTTCAAGGAGTCATGCATTTCTCCAAGCATACATAGCAGGTCTGGCAGCAGGAACTGAAAGCAAATACAGCAAAATAGGGATGTGCTGAATGCAGAAAGTACATTTAGTACTGACATGGCTAATGTTGCTGGTGACAGTCTCATACCCAAATGCTCACACTTACCCATGACAGAGGCTAACTCCCAAGGCACAAATACAGAACGTGCATAAAAAGAGGTGGGGGTGCCTTTTTTTTTTTTTTTTTTTTTTTTTAAAATGGCTTTTTACTCCTTCCCTCTCACCAGCTTTATGGAAGGTTAAAACCAGTCTTACCTTTGCCAGCAGCCTTCATGTTTCCAGGTTCCAGACCTGAAAGGAAGCACTGCCTTACCTGAGGCACACAAATGCAGAGGAGGTCACAGGCTATTCTGGGGAGGGGACCCTGAGCCAAGAGGAGTTTCAAGCCTGGCTATGGGTGAATGGAAAAGGCACCTCCTGGTTTGGAGAGCTGGGAGTTAGAGTGCATCTTTGAAATGCGTGTGTGCACATGAAAAAGTGGACAGATCTCTGTTAATGGTGCTGTAAGTCTGATGAATTTTAATATGAGAAATTTAATCGCTATGATTTACTTCTGAAGCCCGACACATTTGCCAGTTATGTGGACAAGCAGATGTGCTCATTCACACAGCAGTGAGGAGCATAGGTAAGACAGGAGAAAGGGGGATGGGGGAAGGAGATTAGATATGGCTCAAGTTGCTAGAAATGCAAAACGTTTTGCTTCCACAGAAACAGAAGAGTCAGACTGGACACATCTCTCCAGCTCCAAGTTTCTTTGATCTGAGGCATCAAAGTACCAATTTGCTTAATGGTGCCAGGGCAGCGCTATTCACAGGGAAAACTGTCAGCCCATGTCACCAGCTGTACCCTGGCCTGGGAAGCAAGAAAGTGAGGAAGGTTTCCTTTGGTCTTTAAGTTTAGAGCCCAATTAACTGCATAGCTCCCTGGGCATGTGGCAGAAATTAGGTTGGGTTGGGGGCGGGTGTGGCGGTGAGCAGTGGTAACAGCGGCAGCCAACAGCAGTATTGCCTACTTGGTGAAGAAGCAGAAGAGATATTATAGAAGTAATAACAGACAAACCATGGGGACAGGGGATTCTGTTTTCATAGAGCAGAATGGAAAGGGGCATATAGAGAATAACAGCTAAGTTAGTATCTCTTTTTTACAGGTTTATAGTGGGGAATGAGCACAGTAATTAGATCACTACTTAAGCATTTAATCATCAGCAGTCAAGATCCCTAATAGATCTTTTATTCTTAATGGCCATTTCTCTCCAGAACAGATAGATTTTATTTTTTTTTTAATGTAACAGCCATACTTTAGGCTCTACTACTCCACCCCCACCCCAAAATCATAATAGACTTACCAGATGATGTTTCCCGAGTAGAGTAAGTCAAGAGAAAGCCTTTCATGGCTGCCTCAGCCCTGGAAGGGAAGGTCACTGTGCACCACTGAACCTTGGGATTTTATAGGATAGAGGGAAGTGTCACCACAGAAGTTGCCTGCAAAATAGACCAGAATGGGACATGAGCTTCCCACTTTCCCCTTTTTCTCTTGAGGGCTGTAAGGTATAGACTTTCAAAATGCAGTGTCAGAAAAGATTTCGCTTTCTAAAAGCCTCTTCACACAAAATCCTGATATCATTCAGCTTTGAATTCTTGCATTAGACCACAGACATGATCAGAAGATAACTTGTTATACTTGTAACCAGAATGGGGGCCTTCTTCAAACAGATAAAGGCACCCATTGTAACCACTCCAAATCACTAATGGCAAGTGCCTACTGCCTGGACTACTCTGATCAGAAGAAATCCCTGCTCTGACAGGCAGCCCCCACCTCAGGCTGTGCAAGACACTATGCAGTGCTCACAAGACTGCAGAACACCCATATTCTCTGGGGAATGAGTCACTTTGAGAGTCTCACGTAACTGAGACCTGGCACTAAAGAACCTTGTATCCATACGTGCTTGAACAGCTTAAGTTTCCGATCTATGCTTTCTCTTCCACGTACAGAACACACTTGCACAGCTTCACTTCCCCAGCAATATCATACATAATCAAGGCAATAGCTCCTTAGTCAGCGTGGGTAGGTACCCCCCCTCGCTTAGCAGTGCAGTAGGAAAAGCTTCCCATCCCTTGGCCCCATCACTTTGACCTGCTGGCTTGTCTTTGGCACACACAGCAACTTGTCACACTGCAAGTTCAAGCCTGGGAAAAAGCAACCTAGACAGACTTACATTGTTCCAAGGCACAGCCATGCCATGATTAGGACCTTGTATCCCACACGTTTGATTGCAAAAGTATTTCTAGGAAAGGAAAGATACTGAGCTAGCTGAAGTAGCTCCAAGTATTATCGGAAATCCCTTCTGGAGCATGGAAGTGTGCCATGTAAAACTCCCTTGTCTGTCTGCAAAAGAAACTTAGTTCAGCTCCTCTGTTTCTCTCACCCCAGCATTAAGGTGAGCGCTCTCTCTCACCTGTTAACTCTTTGGTTAGTCGAAATCCTTCATACACCATCAGATGGCCATGACAATTAGACAGATTTCTTTCAGTCCAGAAGTCCAGGACTTCAAGCCGAATAATGGATTTTAATGGGGCTACAATTCTCCAGTGGCAGCTGCAGCACAAAGCAAAGAACAAAGTCACAATGCCGTCATATTTTACAATTGGCTCTTATTTCCTAGGGATAGCTATCAAAATGTGAGCAAAGGCAAAAGGGATTGTAATGCTCATTAAAAAGAGAAAAGAAAAAAAAAATCAAAGATGGGATACTGATCCAAATCTATTTTGGTCATATTATTCATTACTTCTGAAGTTAAGCTTTCAAACAGTTTAGAAGTCTATGCTATTGCCACGTGAATGGAAAGTTCTCTCTTACCCTAACTAAGCATGATAAGGGAGGAAGAAAAGGAAACAGATAAAAGTGCCAAAAGATTTTTAGTGACATAGTTTAGCATTGCCATTGTTAACCCCTCAGTTATACCACATTCAGGCCTCTGACATGCTTTTTGATGAGAGCTTTGCCCAGAGGTGTCAGATTTGTCTGCTGTTTGCTGGAAAGAAGATACTGGTACCCCCCAGCTTTTCTAATTCTCTTTGAGGAACTTGCCCAGTTTTCTAACATGCACAGAAGTACCTATGGATTCATTAAAAACCACATCACAGATATCTGCAGATTTTCATGAAGGAGTTACAAAAGCCAGAACTCCTCAAATGCTCACCTGGTGGAATTTGCATATCTCATGGGGTATCCCAGTGACTGGATCATTCCTTCCCTATCTGTAAGGATGACATCTGTGCATCATGACAACTCTGAGCTCATCTCCTTGGGATTTTTTAGGGCATTGCCACGATTTTGTCCTGGAAAGAATAAGAATGTAGAGCATTAAATTCAGCTTTAATATTAAGTTTTAAATGGACTTTCACCAGGGACCAGGGCAATTCCTATATGACGTGTCACCCCCACAGAAAAGCATGGATCACGGGTGAGAGCCAATCTAAGAGCAGAACCTTGAAACGCTCATTTTAAAAGTTCATCTGGAAAAAGATGTGTTCAGTTAGAAGACAAACTAATTAGGAAAGCTACTACATTCCTATTCTACAGGCCAGACCTTGTTCATCATAATCCTACAAAACTCAAACTCACTTTAGGCTTGTTTCAAGCTTCAGCATTTTGCATATCAGTCAGTTTTATCCAGGCTAGAGCTTCGAAGAGCTCTTGTTTTTCATATGTTTGGAGAACATCTGTATGTAAAAACTCGAGAAAGCCCGTAAAGGCATCTTGAAAACAAGTACATTCTTGAAACTTAGGTCAAACAGGTCAGTTCATCTTTAGAGAGAAGTGATTGTACAGTTTGGCTTTGCCTTGGATCCTGAGCATCAAGTATTCAATGCTGAAAGCAGCAGGGCCAATGGAGCAGAGCACCATCTTCACTACAGGTCCGGGCCTCTGGAGAACTGCAGGAGACTGCATGGTACCGCATAACACAGCTAGAAGCAAATCCAAACACACCACTACCACTGTAAAAACACCATTTGAGAAATGCAGGCAAAAGTCATACAAGTTACTCTGTGGAAAGGCAGAAAAGTGAGGAATTATTCACATTGGAAAGATGTTCAATGCCGGTAATGTGGCTGCTCAGGAGCCACCTCCTGATGAGGCAGCAGGCAACACCTCCAGCCCCTGTCCTGCAAGAAGTGCCCTACTGTTTAGAAGTCTATGCTGCCAGCAAGGATTTGTTCAGTTCATTGCACAGTATCAGCTGCCCCAAGTCTACCTACGAGGCTAGGCATTTTGTTTGCTTTACCTATCCTGAAAAATTGCTAGACTACTTAAGGGTTCATTCTTGGGCTTAAACTGAAAATGAGATGGGATAGGGAATTTTTGCCATTACTCCATCTCCACTGATAGGTACTTTCAGTTGTTAAGCATGCTAAATTGTTTTCAGGTTACTTTCTGGCTCTCTGGATTTTCCAGCCTCTTCTTGCCTGTCATCCCATCATCCTAAAGTTCTAGCTCATGCTGCCATTAAAGCCCAAGTCTATGTTTTAGGTTCCTCAGTAAAAGTTATTTGGTTTAGAGACAGGCACCCACTGACTTGTTGTTTGCTGGCTCTAGAGAAGAAGGGGGAAAAAAAAGAAAAACCCAAACCAGGTTGTTTCAATATGTTGGCATATAAATAGACATAGGAATCTAGTTTAATATACCCAACCTTGAAAAACTGCCAGCCATAACAAATGCTATTACACAGCAGCAAGTCTGCGTGCTGGAGGACACTCCAGGGAGCTATCTATTAGACTCCTATTCAGGGAAAAGTTTGACTGATGGCCCCATTTCTGATAGTATTTTCCTCTGTCCTGCATATAAATAGTTATGATAGTTAAACTGTTATTCTCAGCTGCAATAGGCATACTTTTAGAATTTTTTGTGTGCATTTATAAATAAGTTCTTGGAGGAAGATAGCTGTGGAATGCTCTAAGAGCTCCTTAGCACATCCTCTACCTTTCTCCTCTCCTGTCCTTTCACTCCCAACTCAGAGTTAACTAACATGCTAAACTTTACATTTGGTGGGTGTTTTTTCTTAATGAAAAAAATATTGCTAGCATGTTTCATTACCCTAAAGGTCTTTGTCTGGAAGCGTTACTACCACATGTGGTAACAAAGTATCAGCAAAACCCAGCTTATTTCCCTTATATGAGAGCTATGATGGTCATGCACATAGCCCTCATCTACACCCAGATAGAAGTTAAATAGGGCCTCTTCTCTAGAGCATTAGCCATCACAGCACTTGTGAGATGTACGAGGATGAGGGTCTAACCCAGAATGGCTATTATCCAAAAGCTTTTTCCAGAGGCATCACTTAATTTTGAAAATATTTGGAGAGCACATACACTAGAATTCACCAGCAGGACTCCCAAAGGTTGATGGTTGATTTCTCCACCACACTTTGTGTACCAGGTTATCAATGCAGATACCTACCCAGGAGAAATGCTTCTGTATAACTAGTTTATAACATCCGTAATCACAATAAATTAAACCTATACAGAGGCAGAATAAAGGGGGATGAGAGAGGGGCAGAAAAAAACACATTGAAGAGCCGGGAGGGGATGCTGGGAGAAGGAACATCTTCACAGGTCAGAGATCCTCCAGCACACCCAGTAAACCCTCTGCAAGAGCTAGCCTTCATGGGTTTTCCTCCACTGCTTTCCTGTTACTTCCCCCCTCCCCATTTACGTTTTGTGCCAACAAGTTCTAATTAATTCCTTTTGCTTTCAAGTTGCTGTCTGATACTTCCCTTTGATGTCCATACTCCTTACCTTGCAAAAATTGGCAGCTAAGCATTCCTTAGTCACCTTTCTGTGCCATTCATAGCACTCTCTGAAGCCATGCACTTCTCCGTTATCTTTTCCAGCCTGTTGAGTCTGTTTAATCTCTCCCTGTACAGAGCCAGACCGACCCCTGGATCCTGTAATGCTCCTCTGTACTTCTAAATCCTTTTCAGAATGACTGTGTGCAGGGGGGGAAGAAGTAAATCAAACCCCCACAGACTATTAAAAAAATTGGTTCCTCAGGTTTGTACAGTAAAGCATGTTTTATTCTTTACCCCTTCAGACATTGACACCTTGTTTTGTATTTTTCATGGCCACAAGTCTGCTCCAGTGGCCCTACAATATTTCAGTGATAGTAGCTAAATTAAAGCCATCACTTGTGTACATAAAGGCACAGGTGTTCTCCCTTCTGTCCCAAGATGTCAATACAGTGAAGGTAGAAATTTATTGTCTTTATATACAAAAATGTTTATATACTACACATGTTGTACAGCAGACAAGAAAGTTGGCATTTGACTTGCCATTTTAAACAGATGTAGATAATACCGCCCTGCATCTTATCTCTTCCACTTTTTCCCCTTCCTCCTTTTCTCCTACTCTGTGTATAGAGCCTTTAAAACAGGAAACAAAAAGCATTTCCACCATGCATTTTGAAATGGAATTACCCTGATGTGCTCCTGCTCTCTGCCACACTGTACTTCCAACTAGATTTTTACTTAGCTGCACAGTGTGCAGTACACATGCAAACATATAGGCCTCTAGAAACTTAAACTTTCCAGTAAACAACATTAAAGCTCTCACTTTCATTTTAATTTAGCTTTCTTGTAATTCTGTGGATTGTGTTCATCTAGACTAGTGTCTCAGTGACTGGATTGCACCTCAGCAGGGTCAAGGTGAGGAAGACCATAGCCTTCTGCATAGAAGATAATACCTTTTCTGGTATAAAGAGTCACACCCCTGTTTCCCAGGCGCTCATGCTTCAGTGTCGTTCATTCCACCTGCAAGAGGTAAATAATAAGTACCATCATTGCATCTCACGTTGTTGTCTCAGAGGGTATGGAGGAAGGGGGACTGACTTTGAAAAAGAAGCTGTCAATACAGGAGGTCACAAGTCACTTATATAGACAAGTGTCCGTAAGGGTTTGCCCAAATACCATAGCTTATTTCTGTGTAGTTTTTTTTACCATTCTTTAGTGTACCAAGAGGGCTGTTCTACTGAGTCAACGCAGCACACTGACACAGGGATTAAGGTCTTCAGCCAAGTTTACAGCCTGGGCTCTGAAGCTTAACATAAGGCTGCCACATATCAGAGCCAGGCAACTGCGGCTGGAAACCCTTTCTGAAAGTGGCCTAAGTGAAAGTGAGAGATTTCTAGGACTGAGTGTCCTCAGCTGGATTGTTTGTTGTTACCTAGCTCTTTTCTTCCTCTCTGGCTCTCTTCATAAATCTCAAGAAACTCCTCTTGGCAGCTCAGTGATGATGATATTGACAGATGCTTTACTATAATTTTTGCCATGCCCTTCAGAGGCAGTTGGAGTATCCAAGAGCACTCTGTGCTTCCCACGTATCCTGACGAGGAAGGAGCAGATAAACCCCCGGGGCTCTTCTAACTCCACTTCTGACACACATTCTGTGGATAAATGTGCACTTCAGTGATAAAAGCATTAAGAAAATACAGTAAGAGCTTTCTACAAAACCTGCCAGTTCTGCCTATGATTGAAGATAGTCTAGCAAGTCAATAAAGTTAGTGGGAAATGGTTTTCCAATATTTGGTTTTCTTTTTTTTTTTTTTAACTGGTTTCCCCTCCGCCCCCTGGTATTACTGGACTTGCTGGAAGTTTGAATATCCTGATATCACTGGCAAGAGCACAGCCACTGCAGCCACTAAAAAGGCACACATTTAGTTGGCCAAAACAAATGGCTCTGATAAAAAGCTCAACCCTACACAGGGCAGATTTAATTTTTTTTTTTTTTTTTAGAACCCAATCCCATCAGTTTGATCATTTCTTAAGGTCTGGCATGGAGGCTGGTACAAGCCTGCAGGAGTTCTTGAAGTGTACAGGGTCACAAGTCAGTCCTGTCACCTTAGCCTCAGAGATGCAGGCAGCAGACACAAGCTAGGCAGCATAAAGGAGTACGCTGCTGGGCCTTAGAGGAACGCAGACTTGCTTGCAAATTTGCTCTGAGCTATGCTTTGAATCAATGCCTGGAAAACAGATAAACAGATACCAGGTTGATCAAGTACCTAGGCTAACGGGCCTACCAACTTCAAATGCTCATTCACTACTGAGGAAGAAATGTAATTAACTTTTTTTTAATTGACCTTGCAAACAGCCCTTGACAAGAGTTATGAAATATTATGCTTTTGTGTATGCACTCGCTGGTTCTCCAGAAGCACAGGAGGAGAGCAAGCTTAGCTTGTAGCTACATGCACACACAGTGCAGTCAGATTCAACACTTGTTAAATAAGAGACCAAATCAACAGGGAAGTATTTGGAAGCATCTGAGTGGTTATAACAGAGCAGGAGGAGAGAAAACAAGATCACTAATGAGAACTGTATGTCCCTTTAGTACCAAGCATAATAGGGTTGTTTGCCTCCCAAGGCAGCAGTTTTTGAAGTCATACCCTCTGTAGAGCAGCTTAAATTCTGTTTAAGTGTGCTTCCTCCCACACCAACTTTTATGAGCTTTCTGTTCAGATTGGATGCTGACACCACGCCGCGTCTCTGCGTACCTGCACGGGATGCTGAGAGCTCAGAGTGGGGAGAGCTGAGCCCTTCTGCTGGGTAGAAATCCTTCAAATCCAGAAGGGAGATGAGGAACATTTGCCTCCTGAGGAAGGTGCTGCAGTGTGAACAGCACTGCGCAGATGGAATCGTGACCCGCGGTGGAAAAGAGCTTGGCCAAGCTGAGTTATGGGGAGGGTACCCTTCCTCTAGGAGAGCTGGCCTTAAAAAAAACCAGAGACCTCTTCCACCGCAGTCTAGGTTGAAGAGCAATGAGTTAATCACATCATCGCTTTGCACAAGGGTGGGGCAAGGGCTCCTGCACGTACTCGGCACTGCTGGACGACGCGGGCCCTGGGCTTGCAGCGGAGGACAGCAGGGAATGGCAGTGCAGGCATGGCTACGGCAGTCTGCAAGGGAGTAAAGCCCAGCAGGCTGAGCCACAAGAGCTTGTCTGTAGGTTCATTTTAAAAAGAAGTTTTGCATTCAGGGTGACACCCCTATTCAGGTCATTACGGCACCTCGCGCCTGCAGTGACTTTGAGCTCACGCAGCGATGAGCAGCTCGGCTGAGACAAGCCCGCTCCAGCGCTGGCAAGAGCCTTGCCTATGTTTCCAGGCCAGGCTAACCAGCCCTGGAGCTGCTGTGCTAATGATGCCCCCGCAGTCACTGGCTCTACTGCACTTTCCCGAATAGAGAAAGCATCCCCACCTCCCGTTGCTTATTACTTCGGGGGACCTATTTTTATCTCAGTGGTGTGATGTCTTGGAGCACCAGCCAGGGTGCCCATGGGAAGAGGAGGAAAGCACACACTGCATGCCAACACCCTGGCTACAGCACAAGTCTGCCAGCAGAGCCGGTAGCGCGTCCCCTCCTGAACAGACTGCTTTTTAAAGCCGTGAGCAACGGCATTCTCCAATTTGTTGCCAGAGCTAGCATCACCCAGTAACTCAGGGGCACTTCAGCCTTTTCATCAGTCTTCCTCCAACACTGTCACAGCATCAGAGGCGGAGAAACATTTAAATGCTTAATAGGCAGGAGGAGGCACATCAGTAGGACGGGGCTGTTTGCTGTGCTTTAAAAGCAGCAGAAGCTGACAGAGCGCTTCACCCGAGACCACAGCTCTGGTACATGCATAAGAGATTAAGTAACCGTCCCTGCCCTGAGAAATTCAGTCCAAAACATGAAAAATAAAAAATAATAAAACAATACCTCATTCCAAGGATAGTAAGGGAGAGAGAGCAGATTAAGCACCATACCCAAGCGCACAGGAAACCTGCAGCATCAGTGTTGGTGGACCCCTGGCTCTTCCACGTGAACTCACTGTTTCTAGCTACAACAGAGTCTTTCTTCCCGTGGTTCTGCTCACTAGCCTCCCTCCCCTCTCCCTGTGTGTACACGCACACTCTTCCCAGGACAAAATCCAGAGAGCTGTGTCCACTTGCACCGAGATGTTAGGAGACTCAGACTTTGTTACCAGGCTCTGCCCAAAGCCGTTCCTAAACTGAACCAGCTCCACCACCTTCTGCAAACCCAGCGCTGCAGGCTCTGGCACACGACAGCTCCACAGAGTCCCGCAGCTCCCCTGCGCCCGCGCCTCCCCCGTTAGCTTCGTGGGCAGCTTCGCTGGCTGCCCCTGTGCTGAGGTCTCCGGTGCACTGCCACTGCCCTGCAGGACGCTCTGTTCAGCGCCTGAGGAGAGGCACAGCACGCTTAGAGACAGTTTAATACAAAACTCAGAAACAGTCAGCATGGCCAAGCACTTCCCGCAATAGGAAGGCAATCATACAAAGGTCAGATAAAGGAGCCAATGGTCAGTATCTGGCTCAAAGAGCCCTCAGGGCTTTGAACCTTTTGTACAAAGCCACGTGTAAAAACTGCTTGCAATGCTACAGCCTCCACCTCTGGGAAAGATTTACAGCTACAGAGCTGAGCAATTCCCCGCATAAACTGCCTGACCTACAGTAAATCCATGAAAGTTGTTACAGCCTTCAGAGAGTCAGTGGTCAGCAGCCAGTTTTGTCAGATCCAAGTGTATGGAACATCTCTAGCCAGCTCCCAGCTTATTTGTGGGGATGGTCTGGCTACCATACCAGTGATGACTTGTTTTGTTAACTGGTTTTGGTTTAGAAGAAAGTTCTCCCTTAGTCAGCACCTGTACTAACATTTCTGTTAGGTCAGTGTGGGACTATGAATGATGCCACAAGGGAGAAAGACCAGCAGCTGCAGCACAAAGCAGGAGAGTCCAAGTGCTCATCTGACCTGAGAGTGGAGCATTTTCCACAATGTGCTCTTTTCTTTAATATATACTTTAATTTCCTGCTCATAACTACAGCACACTTTGTTCAGGATATAGAAAAAAAATTAGATTTATTCCTGTTAGCAGAAGTCCTCCATTTTCTGCTGGCAGCAATAGAATAAAATATAGGATGGACAGAAACATGAAAACTCTGTCCAGGATTAGGTTTTTCCTCTTTCTTAAGAAATGCTGTGGGACAATCACAACTATTCACTAAACAGAGAATTACATACTTGGCATACATGTGCACATGCAGGGAAGGAGGAGGAATAAAGCTCTGGAAGACAAAGGTTTTGCATCAGCAGTTTCCCAGTGCAACTACTTGAGCCAAAGCAAAACATTTCTTTAGAATGACAAATCAGTTTATTTAGCATGGAAAAAAGACTTGAAGCTATCTGGTGGCTTCTTGAAATCTCTCAAATCCCATCAGATTAAACAAGCTAAAGTGGTGGATTTCTCCATTTGCCAATGAAACTATGAAGCCAAATTCACCTTGACTTGAGGGGCCTCAACAGGAAAGAAACTTCTGGGGAAAAAAGGAGAGAGAGAGCTGGTACGGGGAAGTAGTATGGCAATGCTGTGTTCACATGGAGCACCTCAAACAGGTTTGCTCCCCTCATTTCTCTGCATGAGGGCCTCCCCCAGTTTAAGAACAGGGGCCCTCTTCTTTTTGTAAGATATCATCACTTTCATGCAATCAGTCTTTATTCACTAACATACGCTACTCTTTCTCCAACACTTTCTCTGGTGAAATTTATCCTGCAGAGTCCTGAATGTGGTGCTAAATATATCTAGATACACAGACACACAAGTTCAGTTTACAGCATTATCCCAAACTATTCTCCCCATCAAAGTGTGGGGCTGGTAGGCATTTTCACAAGTAGATGGTTTTTACTGAGAAAAGTATCTGTCCAAAGATTATAGTCAATTTGAGAGCCAGAAGTGCTAAATGCAAGTCTTATGCTTCTGAAACTCCCATTCTCATTTCAGCTAAACTTTGTTTAGTGGCAAGGCATGAGGAAGAGGAGGAAGTGGAGACTTCCTGCAGGAAATCACCTGGATTTTTTTGTCCTCCCTCTTAAGTTGCCTCAGAAAGTCTACCAGACAAAACCTCAATGCACTTGGGATCTTTTATACAAAGGGATTATATTCAAGACTCATCTCACTCAGACAAAGAAAACTTACCTTTCATCAGCAGTCTTATCCAGTACAAGAAAATCCTCACCCTTGAATAGACCCCTGGTTTCTTTGGGCTGGCACAGCCAACACCCCAGCTGACAATGCCATAAAGAGCAAATGCTCAATTTTCCTTGTTGCAAACCAAGGGGCCACCAGAACCACCCTGGGAACCGAAAGAGAGAGGACTCGCAGTTATCCCGTTTGGCCTCTGCACTGCTGTGGGTAAGAAGAGAGCTGTCACAGATCAGATTTGCCCAAGAAAAAGCCTCCTGCAGGATCAGAGCATGCAGCCATTGGTGCAACTCAGCCCTAGCCTGCAATGGAGTGATTTAAAGGCTTGCTTATCAACATGAAGACTGAGCACAGGCTGCAGACAAAATATGACTGAGTAGTGCACTTTAGCGTTAAACGTAATTTATTAGTCTGCCATAAGATTGCAGTATTGAGCAGAACCCGCATTTTGGCTTGACAGTGCCTCAGTCAGAATTACTTTGCCTTTTATTTACTCAGCTGTTCTTACCTGCTTGCCTCATGTTTTCAGGGAGATTAGTTGTATTGAGAGCACTGTTCAAGAACCAAGAGTTTTATAAAAACAATAGAAGTCATCATAGTTTTTCTTGAGAAAAAAGTGCCATGAAAAAGAGTTCCAAGCAAGCTACAATGGGAAGTGTTTCACTGGGATAAGGTATGGGACTTGGGAAGTGCAAGGGAAGAACATCCTCTCTTCCACAGGTCTCATGAAAATTACAGTCCAGAGAAACATTACTAAACTCTGTGGTCCCGCTTCCAAGCAACACTGCACATTGCATATATCTCCCATACAGATCAACTGCATCTATTGCTCTTGTAAGTACTGTCCGCTCCAGGGAAAGCAAGTTGTTGGAGCTTTTAACTGTCACTTGCTACATGCCGTTTTCTCCTCTGTTCTCCCCAGTCCCTTTCCCTAGATGATCTACAGACATCCATGTGCAGACATCTTCACGAGCGCTCACCTTTAGTTTTACCTTATCTGACAGGAGTCCCAGCCTCCTGCAGAAACAATGCCAGCACAAAGCATCCTGGCTGTGATCCCTCCAGGGTGACTGAAGTAGTAATTTCTCTCACAGATTTCATTTTCAAGTACAGGCACTTATGTCTGCTGCAACTGCCTAGCTCGGCTCCCATCTGCTTGGGAAACCAATCTGAGGTTAGTTCTGGGCAGAGGAAGAAAATATGAGATGGAAATGTGAGTTCTGCTCATAACAGGCAAACATGCAATATCAGAAGAGCCACCTTCTTTGATGATCCCTCATCCAGACATAGCACAGAGGGAAGAAGAAGATGCTATCTCTGTGCTGTTGGGCAGACATACTGGCCTCAGCAGCGTTGTACTCCAGAGGTATGTCTAGCTGCACCAGGGCAATGTTGGAGTCATAGCTCAGCATGTCAAAGTGGGGATGCACCACAATGGTTTTCACCTGCCTCACCTGTGACCAGGGCAGAGAAGGAACAAGCTGCCCTCTAAGTGCATCCTGAAGGCATACTTGTAAAGGGAGAGGGCAAAAATCCCACAAGCAATGACCAATGAAAAGAAACAAGGTGCGAAGACTTTGAAGACAAATCCCCCACTTCTCCATTTTTCAGTTGAGAAGATTGCTGGGACAGATTATATAGACCTCCTGAGCCTAGAGTGAAGGCTGACTGCTTCATTGTGCAAACACAAGCCACTAAGCTTTTGCAGAAGACTAGGGCGAGTCACTTGTGCTTCTTTTCCGCATGTATTTCTTCCTCTTCCCCATTAGGAAGAAAGAGTCAGCAAGCTTTTTATAGACAGATATATTGCTCAACACTAAGAGAGTAAGATGCTGAGGACACTCAGTCATCTCTGTTAGATTTTAGGACTTTTTACTGCTAGTAGTAAGAACCGGATATAAAACATACTTCTATAAACTGCAAGTTAGCTGAAAGAGACCAGAGTTACTGGATTTCTTTTCTCATTCCTCAACCTGTGCTACATATCAGTCATTTTGCCTTGCTGTCAACATTGTTTTAACTATGCATCTAGATCTGTTTTGAGAAATATTGTAGGGGCAAGTACACCAAAGTAAACATTTTTAATGGTATTGCTTGGTTTTCACCTGTTCTGTTGACTCTCTCAGGGCTCTGTCATGGTCTTCTACTGTCACAGTCCAGTGCAAGGGTTTATTGGATCTGTATAATGAAAGCAAACATATTGGAGCTACTTACAGTCAGCCATACAGCTTCCTTATTCAGCAGTCATACATTCCTTCTGGCTCTTCTCTAATTAGTCACTTACTCCCAGGACTGCTGAGCAAGAGTTTCTCACCGCAACAAATGTGTTGCGTCAGTTCTGGCTTTGCTACAGCTCTGATAGCAGATAGTCCAATTAACTTTAATGGATCTTCTGCAAACGAGACCAAACTGTTGCCATCTCTAAAATCACTGATCATGGAGGAAGGGCAGAAGGAAGGTGCGATACAGGACACGAAGGTGTGAATATAATTTATAGCTCTCCATCTGTTTGCGCCCCAGCCTGAAGGAGCAGGGGGAGCACGCAGCATGGGGAGAGGAGCAGAGGTGGCCTGGGGACGTGCTGGTCACACTCACAGCTGCACACAGCGGGTGGCTGTCAGCAGCCACGTAGGGCTGATGGCAGCCGCATTGCACTGGTACTCTCCAAGAAGCTTCAGGGCGGCGTGCCATGGCCAGCAGCGAGGACAGGCCTCCTCGGCCCCACTAACACGCTTGAACAGCCACTGGGGAGTAACCGGGGGAAGGCCACAGGTGTCTGCAAGAGAGCCAGAAAACTAGTCACGCTTTCACAGGCAAGTTTCTTGTTTTCCTAAATAACCTCACACAGTGGATACAGCAAGGCCAAAGATGCAGGAGAGACCAAATTTGTCTGCTCTGTCTGGAAGTCGTGGGGGAAGGAAAAACAGATACATGAAAGCTTGAATCCTAAGGAGGTGAGCACTTCAGAGAGCAAACGAGGCTCAGACGCTGAAAGCAGCTCCCTCCCATCCTCTACACTGTGTCCCTGCTCCCAATAGGAAGTGCATGCAACCAGAATGGAGAGGACGTACCACACGTATGGAGAATGAGAGATGGGACACCTGCCTATCACTTTTCATCCATGCAAGAAGTGCACAAAAGGGGACTTGAGGTCAGAAAGCATCTGCCTCACGGCATAATCCTCTTATATGTTAGAGGAAAGCTCTTCAGACCAGATCAACTGAACAGAATTCAATTTCTTTACTTAAGGGGACATCCTTCAGAGGCAACATTGGTGCAGTAGTTAATCCTGAATCTTCTCTTCCTGCCTCCTCTGCAGGAGAGGAAATAAGAGTTAGCTCTGACTTGGGTCAATAGCTCTGGCTTCTCCGCTCAAAAAGTCCCCACTCTGGAAGGGAAAAGTTATTCATCCCCTCAGGCAGCAGCTGGCACACATTCATGAAAGTAGCAACAACAGCAGAATAGCCCCCAGGATCAAGACTCTCTTCTAATGAGATTTTTCAAGGGGAATATCACACTGACAGAATTAACAAGGCTGCTTGTTTCAGGTAACAGGAGTTAGTCATCTCATTTCTCAGTGAGGGGAAAAAAAAACCAACCCCCAAAAAAACCCCACAACCTTGATTCATCTCCCTTATTCAGGGAAGGGAGCTCTGCCACAAGTAGCTATTCTGTTTTAAAGTTACCTTGACAGAATGTGGCAGAATTAGCCTAAAAAATAAGCTCAGGGGTCTAAGAATAGCTGCAGATGATGTGGACATTGTTAGACACAGCAAGCATCTCTCTACTTACCTGAATGAACAAAAGTGAGCCAGGCTCTAAACCCTCTGAAGCTGCTCTCCCCATCACTTTCAAAATGTACCAGCATGGTATTCCCTGAACTCAGCACTGGTTTGGGAGCTGACAATTCATGGAGGTTAGCTGTTGGAATGAACAAGAAGCTGTATTCTTAAGATGAGAAATATCATCCTGTAAGCACTTGCGGCTTTAGCTAATCTAGGTTTCTAAAAAAACCCCAAACCCTAGAGGCTTGGTGACTTTCTGATTATAACAAGAACTTTTGCAGAAGAGGGGCTTGCAAAGCAATGATAATCAGTGATATCAGTAAGCAATAGCAGCCAGAATTTATCTACTACAGTTATGCTACAGGTACACAAAAGTAATCCTAATTTTCTCATAGTGGAATTACAAGTAATCTTCAACAGACAGTGTGAATGCCCTCCATCGCACAAAAACCCCCACACTTGAGAATTATATTTGCCACTATTGAGGGGTGTGAGCAGAGTCTCTCTTGAATGGTTTACATATACAGGTTGAGGACCTAGAAAGCAGCTGCTGGACTTTTCTTCCTCTTGAGAGTGTTCAGTTTGCACATCTGGAAGTCCCATAATTGCAGCTGGATAGGAAGCTTGCACTTTACTCCAGAGGAGCTTTCCCGTAAGAATCTGAATTTCCGATGGCAAAGCTGTGCTGGAAAGTGTCTAGTGAAACACTCTGTGATGCTGAAAGCTCCCCCCGAAAGATTCCAGTTCCAAATTTGTCAGCCACCTTCCCCCCACTTAAATAGTCCTTTCCGATGGAAAACAGATTTCTTTTCAAGGGAACTGTAGTGTTAGTACTTATTCAGCATTTGGTAAACACATGCAACTAAATTACCACTACAAAATAGATGGAAAAAATAGAAGCAGTTTGCCAAAGATCACTTGTCAATGGCAAACCCAGGCCAGTTCAAGCCTCTTACCCAGATTATTTGGTGTCAAGAGCACCAGCCCTTCATCACTCTACTCTGTCTTTTGGTTGACATACAGGCCTGTAAAGAGGTGGCCAGAATTCAATTCAAACATCTTCACTTCTGAGCACCAGATTGCTTTTCACCTTAAGAATAGATATCAAGCTCTGCTAAAGTGAGTGTGGTGCCTGAAAGCTGTTTTTTTAAAAAAAGACGGGGTGTTACAACATGTTTTCATTTCATCCAAGTAGGAGGAACATCTGGAAATATAGTTGTTCAAAAAAAAGAACATTTATTTCACTAAAGTTAAAGATTTTTATATTGATAAAACTGAAGCAGATTTAAAGTGAGGAATTAAAAAATATTTCCTTCTGAAAGTGTAGGAAAGCGATGCCTCAGGCTAGCAATTTTTCATTAACGAAATTCCAATAGAATTAGTTCAATTCATAAAGAATTTGTATTCATTCCAGTAGAATGAACCCATCAACAACCGTTCTTTCACTCTGCCTTACTTTGAACATGTCTTTTTCAATGACACTTAGAGCAAGTTGCTCTTGCTCTCTCCTGTGAGAGAGACATAGAGTGGAGGCCTGATCCAGCAGCACACACTGGTGTGCGCTGCAGCAGAACGTGAGCCATGGTCCTATATCCAGCCCTGCAACACCAGCCAGCTCTCCATGAGAAAGCACAGCCTTGGATCAGGATGTGGGATCTCCTGTGCCAATGGTGCACTTGGCCGCATCATGATGGGCAAGGCAGGTAGGCAAGCCTCAAGGCTCCTGCAGAAGCCCTTACCATTGCCACCGAGCAACACGTTACCAGAGAGCATATTTTGGTGATAAAACATGCCTGTTTCCACAGGGATTTCTAATTTAAGTCTGAAACAATTAGTGCTCACCCAACTGGTTTTCTTCTTCTTCATCACCATAAACAGTAACTGCATCATAAGTGCAGCCCAGGCTAAGTTCCACAGCAAAGTCTTCAAACTCCAGCTGCAAAGTGGACAAGCAAGAGGGAAGCATCAAGACCAAAACACTTACCCTTCCTAACCACGGGCTGGAGAAAAGCTAGAATTTGTAAGAATTTGGGCATGAATCCCTTGGTGAGTGTGTCATGTTTTGCAACAAAACAGTCTGTTGGCAATCTCAGTCTGACTGCTCCTTCCTGTGCAAGGCTACAGACAGGTCTGCAGAGGGTGAAGCTGGCCTAAGCTTTACCTTAAGGCATTTCAGCCGTCATCTTTACTGCAACACTCAGTGCCTTTTACTTCTGAAGGGTCAGTGTCCCATACGGAGTGCCCTTCCAAGAGCTTTTCCTTCAAGCATGGAAAGTGGGTGATTTTTCATTTGTTTGGTTTTTAATCCAGACTGCAAGTTCTCACACCAACAGAGCAGCGGCAACCCAAGCAACAGTCTGCACACCATTCAAGCATCCCTAGGTTTAACACTGTTTTTCCACCCCTTAGCCAAGGCAGCAGGGGAGGAGAGATGTTGCTGCTTTGAACAATGTAAATGGCAACGTGACTCATCATGGGCTGGGGTGAGCTCGGCGGGATGCTTGCTGCACACAAGTAGCAACAGGCAATAAAAATAAAGAGATGCTGGTACTATGAGTGGGAACTATTATCAGACAGCCCACGCGCAATGAGAAGCAGACACCTTGGTATGGGGCTAAGGAGTAGCTTGGGGGGGTTTGATGCTGCCTTGAGGAAAAGGCTATATTGTTTACAACATGCTCTCTACCTTCCCTTTACCCTCAAATCTGTGCTGGGCTTCAAGATAAAGCTATCCTGAGATGAGATTGGTGCCTACAGACTCAAGCACTTACAACAGTCACAGCCCCTCCATACATGAGTTCAGAGGTGATGTCTAGTTGACAAAATATGCCCTGCAAAGAATCAGTGACCTGGAAACCTTACAATTTACAGTCTTGCGTGTCACAGATGTTTCTGGCAGGATTTTATTGAATCGCTCCTCCGAACAGTTCTTAGTGCAGAGGTTTAAGTGCAGTTTCTCCTTTTATTACCTTTACGACATACTCTGCTGGACCTTCAATGAGCCAGTGGCACTTTGTGTTCCTGGGATACAAGCCAGGCTAATTAGCAGTATCAATCTTGCCCTCTTCCACTAACACTGTGACACTTTCACAGCCCAAGCCTGCAATACTCAGACGAGAAAGGAGACAATTTAACAGACGGGATTATACGGTACTTTTAATAAACCCAAATCAACAACTTGATTTTTAAGGAACCCAGGCACACTAAGGATAGTTGTTATTTTTAAGGGTGTCAGGAAGGAGAGGAAAGGAGTTTCTACAGCGTCAGTGAAGTCACCTGCTTCAGGGTCCTTATGGAGGGCCATGAAGGTGAGCTCAAAGTTTCAGCCAGCGTTGCTCCCATTGGAAACAAACTTAACAGTGACCTGGTCCAGCTCTGCCAGCAGAGGGGCTGGGAACACATCCCCGCAGGCTTTACCCGAGGGAGACAAGGAGCTGGTGGAAGGGTGGGCTGAACATACATTTATGCAGGCAAATCTCACAGCGGTTCATTAGGCTAGATCCCATAGGGAAGGTCTCATCTCACTGAGTGGAGAGACTATTTGGCTTTCATTATGTATAAAATATTTGGAGGCGGTACAGAGAAATTGAGGAGATGGGACTTCAACCAAAACAACCACATGAACAACCAAATATTCCTCAAGGATGAATTGCATGACTAAGGATTAACATTATTACCAACACATCACCATTAGTGCTAAGTTAGAGTGCAGAGGCAGCCAGTATTTGCAGGAAATATTTATTCTCTATCAGTTCAGTTTTAAGCATACCTTTGCGAGGGACAACTGGCCACGTTTCTTTTAGTCTCACCTAACTCACCTAACCTAACTGTACAGCTACCCAGGAATCTGCATGCTTGTTGCACCATATAACCAATTTTGAACCAAGGAAGAGCCAGCCTTTGAGCTGTGTCTCCAATGCATGCAATACTTGCTGCTATGCTAACACATCAGAAACTCATCTGGACACACACCAGCTAAGCAAGGCTAAGCACTCAGTTTATTCTGCTACCCAGGGTCCGTAGAGTGAAATGGGTATGTTGGAGACAAGGCAGAGGTAGCACAGAATTATGTACAGTTGAAAGACATTTTTGAGACACCCATTGCACTGCACTAGATGCCAGCACAAATATGAAGATGTCCCTCAGTCCCACCTGCCCTCCTCCATTTGGGTGTCATGTTTAGCTTTTTAGATTCATAGTGCAAAACCCAAAAGGTTTCTCAAAAGCCAGCTAGATTTGCTGTTCTTCATGACAATGAATGACAAGAAATTATACCCAGTAACCCTCATTCCTCCAAGGCACCCAAGACTTACTGATCCAGCTCTTTTCCATTCCAATAGAGGGACACATAGTCACGGTCACATCCAACTTCGTACTCTACATCTAATTTGGTGAAGTGTATCAAGATGATTTTGTCTTCCAGCACTGTTATATTCCAGGTGCACAGGCTAGAAGCAAGCAATAGTAAAGGCATGTATTTGCATGGCTGAGCTTAGCCCGCATCAGCTCCATCGCAGGCTGGGAGTCTCCAGCGACTGCTTTCCTGCAAGCACGCACCAGAAGCTGACAACTGATGTCACCAGCTCCACGTGGTAAATTTTATCATCTTTCCTCTTGGCACAAGCCATCTGGGAAGACAGTTACCAATAGCGGAGGACTGCTGTGAATTTACTCAGCACTAGGTGGGGACTGATGCTTTCTTACAGCAGCAATAGCTTTGTGCTGTGCGACTGACCCACCGCCAGCCCAGTCCATCTCATTCCCCTGCCTCCTGCAGGAGCTGAAAGCTTCTTTGTGTGAGCTGACATTGATAAGGCTAGACCAAAGGATAAAGGGTACAACAGATCTCTAGCCAGCCGCAGCCATTTCATGAGCATGGCTCACACAGAATCTGTATTACAAATAGGCTCTGTGTCCTCCTGCCTTCCCCCACAGCGTTATCCTGCCCAGCAAGCGTAGCTGGGGATTGGCATTGCAGGGAACACGCAGCAACTGTCATCCAGACACTGCTGAGAGTGGTGCCTGGGCCAGTGGTGGTTGGAGCTTCTGAGCCCTGGGAAACACTTCAGTGGGTGCCCTGAGGAAAATTCAGTGTTTGGCTACTACAGCCAAACTACAGTTGCCTGTTGGCAGGGTACTTACCCTCCAAAGCCTGGGGGTACCAAATGCAGCCACTAGAAAGAACTGGACACCTTGGGAACTGCACTCCACTGGCACAGGGAGAGGGCCTGGCACAGCACCTAGGGAGAGAAAATTGTTGTGTGGGGTATTGCAGCACAGGCACTATCAGTCAAGGCATGGGCTACAGCACTGCAGTTGTTTCAAACACAAAGTGCTTGACATGCAGCTGAGAGAAGCCTCAGATGAGAGCACACAATTTCTTTCCCAAAGTCCTACTTAAAAATCCCCAAACTTTTGGGAGTTGTCCCGCCAGCACGGTGGGCTTGCATCCATTCAGCCTGTTAAGAGCTGACGTGGCTACTCCAAGCTTGTTTTTAATGAAGCACCACTTTTATGTCGGCCTTCCCTTCATCTTCTAGGGGCATTTGGTCCGTGTGAATCCCAATAGCTCTGCTTTGCAAAGGGTAATGCACCCACTTTGTAGCCACGTGGCTTCTGCTCCTTGCAGATACTGCTCCCAATTAAAAGGCACCTTCTTAGCTGCAGACAGTCCCCCTTTGAAAGCATAATCATTAAGGATCCCTAGCAAAGCCATAATAGGTTGGGTATCAGTTAGTACCAACACCTCAACTTTGATGGCTATGACAGAAATAACACCATCTCTTTAATAACTTGTATTAGCTCTGTCATAAACTGTCCAGAAAAATACAAGTGGCCATCGGGGAGTCGCTAGACCTGTGCCTAGCTATAAAAGGCACTTCTGATAAGCCACTAAAACTGCGGCACTTACTACAGCGCCTCTCTTCCCATACACATTCAAAGGTGTATTTGATGAGGAGATAACCCCTGATAGAGCCTGCACACCATTTCAGGAGCACAACAGCAGTTCAGATCTCGAGCTGGCAAGCACTCAAAGCAGGCTTTTATTAGAGTAGGGCTGGTACGCAGCGCTCGAGGGACACCTTGCTGAGCTGGATGGGCTGCATTCAGCCAGAAAGAGGGCAGCTTGAGTAGCCTTCTGCTTTTCCTTCAGGGGATGCAAGGGTCAGACCTGCTATTATAACAGGGTTTCTGAAGGGGGACTTATCTGTTTAAACCTTTGGTTTTGCCATCCCAAATTGAAAGATAATATACCTTGCTGACGATGCAGCAGCTGGAAATTAAACAGAACTGCTGTTGGTGGAAGAGAGGGAGGCAGCAATAGCACGGCAATTTGGATCCCTATGGTGCTAAAGGGACAGGAGAGGAAAAAACCTCCCAGTACTCATACCTACCTGGTGTCATGTGCTGGGCAATGAAGTCCATGAATGCAGCCACCTGGGAGAAGATGCCTGGTGAGCCCCGGGCTGTGATGCTTCTCTTGAGGGTATCCCATCCCCTGGCACAACTGACCCCCCAGGACACCACAATGGCCAGAGTCCAGGTGCCACCAGCCCTCAGACATGCAAGGGGGCCTCCAGAGTCACCCTGTCCAAACTCCATTGGCGAAGAAAGGTGCCATTTATTCCTGTGCCAGCAGCCCCAACCTTTGACAGTGTTGCATGACTGGCCGGTTTTACTGCAGAAGCTAACACAGCCTTGCTTGCTTCTCCCCAGTCGCAGGGGCCTGGCACTATCCCTGCTCATTCAGCTGTTCTTGTTTAATCTAAAATGTGCCAGTCTAAGCTCTGTTGTTTCACTCCCCTGATCTGACTTGCAGTTTGGCAACCTGCCCTTCCCTGTACACAAACCCCTTTTTTTCATGAAGAATGTAAAGATGAAAGCCATTTCACTAACATCAGCTGCAGCACTGCTTTGAAAATCTTCACGCAAGGTATGACAGAGGGCAGGGAGCTTCACAAGCTACTTCTTGGTTAAAAAATTATCCATGCAAGTACACCCCAAGGAGACTAGTGACAGCCTGGTCAGCAGCCTTCCCTAGGGCAGGGCAAGACGGGTCCCACTCACACTGTTAGGACGAGAAGAGTTTGGCACTGAGCAAACTCCTTTATTGCCCAGTGGGACTGTCTGAGTGAAGGTATCAGAAGGCTTGAGTGGGTGTAAGGGGACATCAAGGGAGAGGTGGGAATTGCCTTCTTTCCAACCTCCTGGTAGCATTGCCCATGCCAGGCTCCCTTGCCCATTGCCTGGAGTCCCACCACTGAACGTCCCCCATGGTTTCTGCAGAGGTGGTGGCACTTGCATGCAGAGATGGAGGTCCTGCTGTTAGCAATGCCCAGGGCAGGTCTAGGCAAGGGGGCAATCATGCTTCAGTCTCCTGCCCATAACCATACTCCTACCCGCAAAAGAGTCCTCCTGCCTTCATTATCCCGAAGCTCCTTGTAAAGCCCTTGCTCAGCAAAGTGCCGACAGCACTCTCAGTGCTCTTTCCTTTCTCCCCAGGAAAGAAGAAGGTTTGTGGGTGGACAGGACAAGCCTGCTACCCAGCAGCAGCCAGGGCAGATGAGCCGTTACCTTGCATGCATCCCCCCTGCCATCAGGAAAGCCAGTGCACAGCATGGAACCCCGCACCGGTGGCAGGTTCATGCCCCTCAGCAGCGCACTGCAGGTCTGCCTGTCCGTGAGGGGCAGCTCCACCTCCCGCAGGACGGGATCCAGCACCCCAGCCACTGCCAGAGCAACCAGGCCACATCCACCATCTACAAGAAAGCTCACGCCTCCGGCCAAATGACAGCCAACAGCCCCATCACCTGGGAGCTGCATCTGCCCCTTCCACAACACCCCGGCAAGAGTGGCTGGGGGGGTCCCGCACAGTTGCCTGCCTGCGGTGGTGATGTTTGGGAGCAGTTTGGGATCACCAAGCAGAGGCACCCAGCTAGGCAGGTAATGCATTGGTTTGTCCCCAACCAGTGCCTCAAAAGAGGGTTGGAGCAGGTCATTCCCCTGCAGGTTGGACAACAGACATTTCTTTCTTCTCCCAAGCACTCTACTACAGGGCTGGAGACTTGCAGGGGCCAGGACAAAGCCCCCAGCAAGGTGCTAGCATGAAAGAGCAGCCCTGGCTGGGAGACAGCATGATCTCTCCTGGGAGGGCTGCTGGGGAGTGGGGGACAGGCAAGTCTCTTCTGTCTCCTCTACTGTGGATGAGCCCCAAACCACTGGGAATGTAAAAATAAAAAGCAACATTCACAGACATGCCCATTTCCTGTAAAATCTACCAAAACTCAAGCAAGTGAAATTCCTTTGAGGGAATGGCTTTCTGATATCTAGATGAAAGAGTATAAAAGAGGTTTGGTTTTTTTTTCTTTTTACACACAAGGGAACTATTCCCACTTCTGTAGCACCTTGTAAGGATGGCTCTGCTTGCAAGAGGCTCCAATACACATGCATTAATATGCACAGCAGTACTGCAAAGTGCAACCTTCCCTAATGTGCTCCAAGGTCCCATGCTGCAGGAAAACGCTGATCTGCACATCCCTACAGGGGCTGGTTCTCTGACAAGCAGAGGAAACCTGATGAGCAAAGGAGTACTCGAATTTTCCATCTGGCAGGAGTCACCTCTTCTTGCATTTCCATTTCTGAAAGAAAGTGGCTCCTTTCCCTTATCCTTTTATTCCTGCAACTCTGAGGAGAATCCTGCCATTTGACTCGCCCTCAGACACCTCGCCCCAGCCACTAGCTACACACAGTGTCCCAGCCTGGAAGTCTTCATCCCTGTGAGCAAGGCAGGTGGGCTGAACCTTGTCTGCTGCACAGGAAAGGGTATACAAATGAGCACATGAACCCCATGCTTCCAGGAGCATGTCTGATTTACAGGTACAAACAGCATCCTTCAAGTCACACTGTTCCATTTCTCCCCTTCCAAAAACACCACAGTCATATGTGGGTATTTATAAAATAAGAATACAAACCGAAGTTAGTAATTTGTAATTGAATTTATACATGGCAAATTCAGAGACAGAGATCAGGAAGATTGTTAGCTACCTTTGAATGTTAATTTAAGCAGGAAGATACTTGGGAAGGGGACAAAAGAAGAGGGGGAACAGCATGGCAGAGATGAGTCAACTAGGTTGCCTCTGTGTTGGTCTCATATGGTGTGGGAACAGGCCGGTCCTTGTGAGAAACTCTACATCATTCTCCCCAAAGAGCAGTGCTGATCGGATCAGAGGAGTTATGCAGGACATGAAAAACTCAAAAGATTCAGCTCAGTTCAATCCAGACTCATATTGGTTAGTTTTTCCTTGATATTGGGAGAAAAATGGATCACAGTTCTCCTTGGCTGTCTTGATGGGGCATTGGCAGTGCCCAGCCTTCAGAAGGGCTAAGCAGGGAGCCCTGTAGTTTCCTCACAGGTTGTCCATACAGCTCAGATGCTGTTCATGCCTAGAGACATACCTGTTCAGCCACAGAGTACAGGCACACAGGCAGCCCTCAAGCAGCCTTCCTCACACTGCCTGCCAGGGGGTCCGAGCCCTGAAACGAACACTTCTTGGGTCTTATTTCCCTTATTCCTGCCATTATGGGCAAACCGTAAGGCTATTGCCACCCAAGGCAGTTATTTGAGATGCGACAGTGACAGAAGGTTATTTTATGTTGGCTGATCTGCCATCTGATGGTGACAGACAGTCATGGCCAGTTGGCTGTAACCCATCAGTAGCTTTATATAACTTAAGGAATTGCCTTTGAAAAGCCTGGGAAGTTAAAGACTTGTGCCACTTCCCTCACACCAAGGCCCTAAAATCATCTCCAGAGGCTTTGCCTTTGCCTGCAGAAGCACTTGGAGCAAGCAGGTGTTAATCCAGCCTGCTTCTCAGTGGGCAGGACCCTTGCAGCCCACTGCAAGCTAATAGCCCAGGGCTATGGCCAAGAGGAAGGTGACGGCTTTCCGGCAGCTAGCCCAGCAGCTAGCCGAGAGCTAGCGTTGGCACAATGGGGCTGAAGGAAACCGTGCTGGTACAGCTTGTAGGAGGGGAACACAAGGGCACACAGGAATCTGGTACACAAAGAAAGCATAGCCAGAACACAGACCCTGCTTGATTCAAGGGATAAACTTCTGGGACAATTAATCAAAGCCTAGGACAACAATTAACCCAACTGTGTTACTTTGATAAGAATTAAGGGTGTAACTGAGGGGACACTTCTCTAGCATAGAGAGCACGGGAAGGGAAGAAAGAGGGGTGGGTTTTGCGGACCAGTGCATCAGATGAGGACTTTGCCCACGTAAAGCACCCTCCCACAGCAACAGCTCATCCCCTTGGGCTGCTGCTTACCGTACTGGGCTGGGTGCTGCAGGTACAGCAGGGCCACGTCGCAATCCATGTAGCGCAGCCGGTTGAACACGGGGTGGATGATGACATGTGAGACGGGGATGCTCTGCTCCTGCCTGTCTGCCCACTGGAGATGATGCTCCCCCACTGTCACCACCAGGGTCTTCAGGAGTTTCCTGGTGGGAAATAAAACAGTGCCGGGTTGATGAGGGAAGGGGTTGCTGCCCCACAGCAAACCATCTCCTGCAAGTTCCCACCCTCACACTGAGACTGCAACCCTCCACAGTGGTCCTGCTCTGGGAACTGGGGCTGGCCTCCAGTAACAGGACTTTCAGCTGGCCTGATTTCACATGAGCAGCAACATGGAGGATTCCCTGAGCTCCAGCTGGAAAAGCTTTTAAATGGATAAATAAGCTTCTTGTTTCATCTGTTACCCATCAAGCCACTGTTCATACCTGGGCAGCACAGAGCTGCCAGGAGGCCAGGGGAGGTGCCAGCAGATTTCATTGCAGCCAGCTTGGTACAGGCAAAAAGACAGCTTATCTTTTGCCTTGGGACTCGCAGAACCCCTGTGCCATTTTTGGCCTTGATACATCAAGCTCAGCCCTTGTTACCTGCAGTCTGGGATCCTAAAAGGCACACGAGAAGCCTTAAAAGCAATGGGAACTGATTGCCAAGTTATTTTGGCCCCATAAATCCTCCTTTCTAATTTTGTTATCGGTGCATTTAGGAGATGAGCAGAGGCCCACATTTGAGAGCTTCACGATTATTTTAGGCAGCTACATGTAGTTTAAATTAACACTAGACAAGTGTGTGCCCATTATGGTTTTTCTGCATATTTTATAAGCAATATAATGTCACAGTTAAACTTAGAGCAATCCACTCCAGCAGAGTCAAAACACCTTTCAGTATTTCTTTTAGCAATTAGGTAGATAGCTATGCTATTAGAGCGGAGTTACCCAGTAAATAGGCGGACAGTAGATCCCATCTTTAGCAAACAAGATCTTTAGCAAAGCAGTTTACCCTCCTCTAGGGAGTCCAGCAAGTGCACTGGGGTGCATGGTGGGACAGTTTTGCACTCAATGGGAGACATGAACTGGGTTCATCAACCTGCCCAGTATCAGGCACTGCCAAGAGATGCCCACAGGAGCCACAAAACTTGTCTGCATTTTGGCTGTCAGTGTTTCCTGTTACCAATTCTCACAGCACAGGGCACAACAGCAGCGAGCTTATCTTGAGATCTTTGCAGTTAGGGCTGATTAAAAGGTCTGCCTGAACTATTATCAAAACAGGACAGAACTGAGACCTGAAGCAACTGCCTTTTCTCTCCAGACTACGATCACTTGAGAGTCTAAGAAACCCCAGTGCTCAGACAAGAGCTTTGAAGCCTATTTATCACTGTTTTCTAGTAGTTGGGGGGGTGGGGGGTGGGGTGTGTGTGTTTTGTTTTGGGTTTGGTTTTTTTTGTTGTGCTTTTGTTGGTTTTGTCGGTTTTTTTTTTTTTAAAAAAAACCCTGCCCTCAATCTCTTCTCTAACCTCCATGGGATTGCACCCCTTCATGAAAGTCCGACTGCTGTGAATTACCACCACGCTATTTCACCCATGCAGCCTTTAGAGGTGCCAGGTCTGGGCAGCCCAGCTTGAGGGGGCTGGTAGACACACATTTTATTGTGGCTGCCTGCCCTGAAGCGCGGCCCCAAGCACTTTGAATCGAGGTACATGGGGTTCAACCTAAGCCTTTGCTTCAATGCTTCCTAGTAAATTAAGATTTATTCCCTCCCCCTCAGAGAAACCCTGCCTCTCATTTTCTAATCACTTCCAGCCATAACAGACCTGCTTTAGTCCCAGGAGGGTGTTTACTGGAACTGGAAAGTTCCCATACTTCCCAGCAATGTCCGACACCAGGATTGCCTGTCAATGTAAACTCTGCAGTAATGGGAACACAGGAACAGTATTGGCAGCGTAACAGTGGAGACTAAAAGCCCTGGCTAGTTTTGCACGGAATAGAGAAACAAGGAGGTGCCTCATTATCAAGGTTAATCTTGCACATAGAAATTTTTATACCATAGCAACTTCGTCATTATTCAACATTAGTCCTCAAAAATGATGCTTAAGTTGAGCAAGAAACAGATGTGAAGCTGACTGGTCTGCAATTACATTATAATGGATTATAAGAGGGCTGGCAAAAGGGCCACTTATATCATTGTCCCTGCCCATTAAGAGGTCTTTAGCATGGCCTGTGAAGCTGGTCTTGCATTAAAAGTACAGAGGCCAATGTGACTGCTAGGAGTAATGGGACAGTTGCCAGGGCTGCTTTTACGAGGAAGATGCAGTGCTGCTTCTGCCTCAGAAATGCTTCTCTTGGTGCTTGCTTAGGTGGGCAGGGACAAAGCCCTTTAAAAATTAGTGATTTAGACATTTAGAAGAACTGTGCTAGCACAGAGATTTCCACACCCTGATCTCTGCCCCCGGGCTGCCCACACCTCAAAGCTCCCAAGCAGCAAACAGGACATATGAATTTGATTTGCAAACTCCCTGAGCCGGGGAGCCCTCTCTCCAGGCTTTGGGAAGAAACATGCAGAGACCCAACAGGAGCAAGCAGGGTGCTGGGGGGTACATGAGTTGCTCGAGGACCCATGGCCCTGGAGTGACACATCCCACAGATCTGACTGTGGCAGAGCACTGGCTCCACTCAGCCCCTGTGGGGGGAGAGGTGCATCTCCCGCCCTACCTGGGGACCACACATCTGGGCCCAGGAGCTCCCCACGTCCTAAGGGGAACTTTTGCTGCAAGAGGTTCAAGAGCAAGTGAGGAGGTGAGGCTGACTTACTGCTCCAGGTTCACCATGCAGTGACCACTGCTAGTAACCACGTCTTCTCGGAACAGGCTGCCACCACAGAAATGGAAATGGCCCGGTTTCAGGGACACCTTCAAAGAAAGGGCCAGGTATGGTTTGAGATGAGGTGACTCCTGTTTCCTCTGAAAATGTGAAATAACAAAGATCAGCCCAGCCCAGCAAACAACTTTTTCCTCCCAGTATTAGTGTGTGGGACACCCAGCTGCATCCCAGAACAGAGGGGACCAGGCAGACATCTTGCTCCTCTTGCTGCTGCAAGAGCTTCCCCAGGGCTTAACGCTAGCCAGGGCTCCAGAGGATCCATCCCCCTGACCCCAGCACCCTGCCCTCTCCCTACACTACCCCTTCCTGCCCTTCATACCTGCGTACATTTTCAAGCTGTTGCATGTGCAGGGACTGGGTTTTGGGGGGAGGGAGGTGGCAAACACTATTTTGCCACAGGTGCACATTTGCTCTGGCAACATGCAAACAGGTAGTACTTTTCTAAATAGAGCCATGGCCTGCTCAGTTACTGTAAAGCATCATCCCACAATCATTGCTCAGTGCTTTTCCTTATGTGAATGTAAGCTGCTAGGCAAGGTAACTTTCCTCTGCAGCAGGAGAGCAGAGACATCCTCCCTTCCCACCTCTACAATCTCTTTCTGTACCATAAACCCAAGGAAATCCTCAGATGGTGTATGCCACAAAAGCTCCGCTGCTGCATTAGCTCACACCAGCCAGAGATCTCGTCTTAACCATTAGATCAGCTCATTCCCTCCCGCTTTGAGAGCGGGGTCAGCCTGGGAAGCTGGGAAAGGACTTTTAGTGCAGCTTCTGCTCCTGAGTGAGCAGCATTCAATGACTTGAGGATGAAAGAGAGATGGCTCCTGCCTCTCCTCCCCCTTCCCCAAGAAGAAGGCAGCACACTGCAACACAGACCTGCCAGCGCTGCCCTCTGGGCACCAACTCTCTCTCTTCAGCAATATGAGAGAAGAATCCCAGTGGCAGAGCATCCTTTGGGCTCTTCAGGTCAATGGGATGAAGCCCACGCTTCAGGCCTACAGAGAAGACAGAAACAAGAGAGTTTTGCAGTGAGGCAACTCCCCACATGCTCAAATCACCTCAGGGTCTTCTGGCAGGTAGGGAATTAGTGGGACAAATCCCAGGTGTCCCGGCTTTCCTGACTCCAGCCTGAGCTCCAAGCTGAAGGCAATTATATGGAGCAAAATGAAAACACACGGAAATTGCTTTTCTTGATAAGACACTGATGTGTGCAAAGCTGAGGTCTCCTGTGAGGTATTTTCATGATGTGTGTGCCCAGTCATAAAAAAAGCAAATTTAGATTTCATCCAGTAGGCTAATTATTCTTAATGAAATGCAACTGGGTCTTACAAAATTAAGTAACAAGTGCAACAGGTTATAATGATGCCACCTGACTTTATCCGAAGTTTATTATTTCAAAGCTTCCATATCTAAGTGCCCTGTGGCACTTAACCTGAGCAAGTTAAGTCATCATGAAAGATCCTGTCTCTGAACTGAGCTGGCCCAGCACGCAGTCTTGGCTTTGGTCTGAAACACATCACAAGGAGACAGAGCTTTCTCACATCGCTTTTGGCACCGATTGTGCCTTAGAAATGTGGACAGTGAGCACAGGGAAGTTTGATTTAGGGATGGCTGGGTCTGATTAAATTTTAGATGCTTCACTGAACTGTGCAGTTTGAGATAAATTCATGGCAATCCCATTTATGTTTTCTAGGGAAAACCCCACCAGTCCTCACGCAGCAGGGAGGGACACACCCCCCGACAGGCCTGCCGGACCCCGCGCTGGGGGGACGAAGGCATGTGCTGCTCCCCTGGGTCAGCTCCAGAACGTGATCATCACAGCCAAGATCACACAGGAGGAGCGATCTCAGATGCTCGGGACACAAAGAAAAGGAACTGACTGCAACTTCTCATACCGGAGGGCTGCTTCTCCAGGCTGGGTTGTGGGAGAAGGGCAGCATCAGGCTTCTGGCTCCTTTGCTGAGAAGAGGACAGCAGCTCTTCCTCCACTCCCTTCTGCTGGCCCTGTGTCTGCACCAGCTAAAAATCACTCTGTTATTCGCTCCTGACCAATGTGTTTCTTATGCCAATAGGAGGGGTCCTCTGCCTCTCCTAAGCCAAGGCTGGGATAAGAGTTCAGTTCCCAGCCAAACAAACATAAGCAATATAATGCTCATGATTTAGGAGGTACTCGCACTGTATTTGCTCTGGCGAGAGCCTAGAATAACTCACTAGAGTCACCAGGAGACTGAGTCTGGATCCAGAATGTTACCAACTATCACAATGACACCCCTCCATCCCTCTCTTTAACTTTGGGTCCTATGTCCTCTGTGTAGGCTTGAAGGCAATGCTACTTGCTTAACCTTCCCATCAGGTTGACAGGCATTAGAAAGCCCACCAATGTCTCACAACACCTTATCTGAGTGCCAGTGAACTGAACTCAGTGCCTGAATCTTTCTCCTCTACCCAGATGGCCAACCATCCCAAGACCTCAGCAGCAACAAGCGGGACTCACCCCACAAGGTTGTGAGTGAGGATCCTTGCGCAACTCCTGCAGCACTCCTGGCTGTAGAGGTGCTCACTGAGCTCCTTGCTGCTCTGTTCAGCTAAGACCAGCCTCTCTCTCCCTTTTTTAATAGCATTTTATCATATTCCCAGGGCACTCTCTGGCCTCAAAGCATTTGAATACTGCAGAAAAGCTCAGTCACAAAATCAGGCACAATTTTCTAAGCCATTGAGCTGGACCAAGCTCTCCCTAGCCCTTGCTGCTGACTAGCTTTTCCAACGAGAGACTGTGGTGATTATTGCTATAGCAGCAAATCTACTAGCGAAGTATAAAATAAATAGACTTTATCAGGAGGGTAAATGATGAAGAAAACACCATTCCTTAGGCGGAGAGAGAAATAGCATTAGCAATAGCAGAAGGACCAGCATCCTATTGGAGCAGTGTGGGAGGGATGGCAATTAGCTGGTTATACCATCTCTTACCCCAGCTGGGCAGTTCTTTTTAGCACTAGTTTCATTACCAGGAGCAAGTCACTCTGAAGATCACTGTTCTTCTGCCCAACTTGACCCCTTTTGCAGCCTGCCCTGTGCTTATTTTCCTCTCTTGCCTACAAGCATCCCTAGGAAAGAAATTTTTACATGGATGTGGGAGCGGCCCAGACAGGGAGTTATAAATACATTAGCTGCTGCAGGAGGATGTGCAAGAAGGATTTGAGAATATGTTGCCATTCATTGCTCGCCTAGACCCTTTTCTGACCCAAGTGCCCCAGGGTCACCAGTTAGCAAGCTCAGTGGGACCAAGCTATTTCTCTTTCTCGCACAGCCACGGGACCACACCACAGCTGAGCAGCCTGCATGGGGAACAGCTTACTTGCCACAGCAGCCAAGGAGATGGCTGTGGCAAGCAGCACCTAGATGGGGAGGGTAAGAAAGGCTTCCAGTCCCAGCAGAGCTACAGTAAGGGCAGCCCAAAATCACTCACCAGAGGCAAGCACACCAAGCCCTGGCATGATTTGTGAAAACTGACTGCTTACATTCACTCGCCTGATAACTTAAAAGAGCAGATAACACCAGTGCTTGCTGCTGTAGCCCACACAGTGGTGCACATCTCCCCACAGCCCGCACACAGGACTCACCGGTGGAGCGAGAAGGGACATGAGCAGCAGGATGAGCCCTGCTCCCACCATGGCCCAGGAAAAGCACCCAGTGCTGGATCCCAGGCTATGCTCTGCCACACACAGGAGAAACAACCCTCCTGGTGCCTAACAACCCCCTTTAATAGATGAGAGGGCCAATCAGTTTTGGCAGGTGAGGCTGCAGGGCTGCTCCTCAGGTGGGTTTGGAGGCTCTCCTGCCATGTCTCACTGGGGGTCACCAGCTCCCTTGGCTCTCTTGTTTGTAGTTTGCTGCCCGCTTCCCACAGAGACAGCGGCAAGATCTAATATCCCCCGCCTCACCACTGCCACCGGCCCCGAGCTGCCTCAGCCCTTGCGGTTTGAAAGAAATTTCATTGCTTTTGCAGAGGAGGATTAGCCCAGGCAAAGGCGAGTCCAGTCAAGTTCCTCGCCCCGCAGTCTCTCCTCACCCAAGCTGGCTGGGGGAGCCCCTCTGTAAGGCATGGCAGTGTGTTTCTTCTTCCTTCCCAGAGGACACCAAGAGAGCTGTCTGAAACCTCCAGCAGCTCCTCACCTGTGAAGCCATACATGGGGCTTATGGAGAGCCTTAAGTAGCTGCCGTAAGGATGAAAATGATTGACCTTTTTTACAGGGAGAGCCGTTATCCACATACCACAAAATCAAGCTCCATTAAGAACCCCTGCGCTGTTGAGATCCAGGAGAACTTCAGGGTGTACGGGCTGACTTCAAAGTGAGCATGCAGTTCCCCTACATGCTACAGAGGGTTTTGCACACACCAAGATGGCAAAAAACCACTATGGCTTGTGTTCAGGGCTTTCGATTCTCTTTCAGGTCTGTTTTCGATGGAGGTGTTTATCACCATCATGATGCCCTGAATGAATCCAAGCCCTAGAAGCATGCAGGAGCATCTGGGAACATCTGCCAGGAAGAAGGGAATTAGAACAAAATTAGTTTCTTTTTAATTTCAGTTCTGTTTTTCCCTTTGCACTCTGTAGACTTAATGTTGCTTTGACACATTTCTGACAGATGTATAAAGCCTGACATGAAGAGCTTATGTCAGTATAATGTGTCTGATCATCAAGACTGTGTAAGCACCAGCCCTTATCCTTTCTCATGCTCAGGCTCCAAAAAATGCCTGCTCCAATATTTTTACGTGGCCAGGCTCAAATACACGTGCTGCATAGTTGCTCCTACATGAGCAATCACTGGGACTCCTTGGACAGTAAAATGTAAGTCAAGTGGAGTAAGAAACTTTGGCCCTTCCACCTCCCGAAGAACTTGTTCATGGTTGGTCCTAACGAACAGACTGACTCCATAGCCAAGAGAACAAAACCAGACACTCCACTTACTTTTCTTACTTTTTATATAAAATAGACATTTACATACATTTTCTTTTGCAAAGACTTCGAGCATAACTCCTTTATGTGAAATCTAGCCATAAATCCCACAGTGAAAAAAGCAAAGACTTTGCAAATTCCTGTACCACTGACATACATCCAGCTGCTGCTAAGTGTGAATTTATTTGTAAAAGATTTCTAATCCACGGGCTGTTTTCTTGTTTTTTTTTAAAAAGATATGCACAACCGATTAAAAAAAAAAAAGATACAGAAATAAGAACCCTATGAACAACAGGCAATGCAAACAGCTCCCGCATGAGAGGAACACGCAGCGCGACATCCACTTCAGGCAGAGATTTCTACAGTAATACAGTTGTAGAAGCCATAACTTTTACAGAGGATACCACTGGGGGTATTTTCCAGAAGAAAAAATTTTCAGCAAGTCAGTACAAACATGGCAATGAACTTTTGCACAAAGTTATCGAGATTACCTGAAGCAACTTTGCCACATTGAAACACTAGTGTATGCCGAGCGCTTTTTTTTCCTTTTTTTTTTTTTTTTTTGCTGCTGGGTTTAAATGTACATGAAAGCAAAACAGTGCATTTTGAAATTGCTGCAAGAGACTGAAGGTTGGGGGGAAAAAACCTCTAAGGGCTAATTTTTTCCAAAGATTGTGCATAATTGCATATATGAAAGATAGAAAATGAGCACTTGGTCAACTTAATCACATACAGATTGAGGAGACTTAAGCATATACCGTTTCACCAAGTTGGAGGACAAATGGGGCAAAAGATCATACAACTATACTCTAAATTGCCTAATTATCAAAATCAGAATGACAATTATCTTCTTTCACCAAGTATTGTACACCATATCTGGCCTGGTTTCTGTACCTGTTGAGAAGCTTTCATAGTTTTTAGATAATTTTAGGGGTGTCCAGCCTCCCCTGCGAGTTAGGTTCTTTACTGTGGATTTTTTTTACTTAGACTTCTTCCACCCATGTGCATGCATGCACACACCCTGTCCTCGTCAAGATCTCTGGAATGAAGGCCATTTGCACTGCTGCATTCACTTACTGTTTGGCCAAAACAAGCTGCCTGCACATTTGTAGGAAAAGCTAGTCCAAGGAGTCTATGAGAGAGAGAAAATGCCCCCCACTGCATCATTTATCCCAGGGGATGGAAAAGGAAGGAAAGCAAAGAATGATGGACTTTAAATAAGCAATAAAATAAAACAAAATCCATCAGCTGAAAATATTATTCATGTGGAAAGGAAAAAGCAACACAATTATTATGCTTTTCATTTAGGATTAAAATGCACAGTGAGTACATGAGACTCCTGTCTAACCAGCGTTCTGTTAATTCTCCACTTTAATATTGGTGAGCACTGAGGTTTAGCCAATGCAACTTGCAGAGAGAGTGAACCTTCCCCCACCAGGTAGAGCTTCAGCCATTTATTAATTTTTAATCTCTGCTAACCATGCTGAGCACTGGAGTTGGCAGAAAACAATGTATTTATAACTCATTATTTTAGAAGCTGCGCAATGCTAGAGGAAGAGGACATTTCCTATGATTAATTAAGATAATATCCAGTTTATCACAAGGTAAGTCGCTCAATTTATCTTCCACAATAGCATTCCATTTGGGTGGAGGTAACCCATTTCGTATCATAATCCATTCTTCTTCTTTGCCTGCAATAAACCTTTCACAAGATTAATGTCCTGAACAAACACAGTGTTTCAGCATGGATGCCAGCGAGACAGAGAGTCAGCTCAAAACTTCACAAAGGTTTAACTGCTTTGGTATCTCATGGTCTGAATCGTTCTCCAAATATGCTGCCAGTTTGCAGACCGTCATCTGCATAGATGGGGTATAAAGTGCTGGTTCAGAAAAGCAGGGTTCATTACCAAGCCCTCCTCTCTCCATAACTACCATAAACCCAGCTCCAAAATGTGGAGAGTTGGCCTTTCGGCATATAAACGTAATCCGGTTCAACTGGGATTAAACTCTGTGGATAAGTTACCTGCCTAATTCAGGCAAGTGGATGAACATACGCCATGCCTTCCAACCAAACCACCTCCCTCACCGGGAGGATGGTCTCATCTTTCTACATTATTCTGCAAGTAAGACAGTGTTGCAAAAATGGTAATCTTTCTCCAGGATCTGGGGGGGGGGGCAGGGGAGGGAGTACCCAAAGCTATGTTATACTTTTACATGTGCACCAGTTTTAGGAGGTCAAGATGGCTTTGATCAGGTTCTAGGACAAGAACAAGACAACAATTTCTACCAGGTCTCTCAGCCAAAGTTAAAAACACAAAACCAAGTCTTTCCCCTCACAAAGCATTGCTATAAAAAATACAACTTCTTCTATATTTGAAAAAATATGTTTCATCGGCCACAATTTAAAGCCACACTGCTGTGGGGCTTGTAGAATATATAGTATTTATTTAATATATCTTTATGAGGCAAAGTTTATAGCTGATACATGTTTTTAATGAGACGTATCTCCCCCCACCCCTATCCCCCACGCTTCGGCTACCTGTCAGAGCACCCAGCAGGTGCCTCCTCCACGGGAGGCTTAGCATGGCACTGCTGTCGGGGGCTGCACCAAACACAGCCCTGGCAGCCCCCAAACTCGCCGCCACGCGGCAGTACCACGGGCAGGCAGCCAGCTGGGGCACACGGGGCTTTGGTGAAGCTGCCCCAAAGGCAGGCTCACCTTGGGGAGAGGCAGAGAGCTTTATGGTCCAGATACCTCTGAATACCCCAGTAACGAACCATCTAGAACTTTGCAATGCACGGTGGGGAACCGACTGCTCTCAGAGGACATTTAAGCTTTGGTTTCCCCATCCCACAGGACTCTGCTGGTGCAACCCCATCTCCTCCTGGCCATCCTGGCAGTGCCAGGGCTGTGCAAAGCTAGTCCATGCACGGCATCCAGCAGAGCACCTGCACTGGGGACCTGCAGAAATGTCAGGTCAGCAAGTCTACAGCCACAAGAGTCATGTGGAAAGACAAGGGTTGCTGATGCAGCCCTAGGACCTCAAACCTGCCCTCGGCCCCGCAAAGCAAAGTAGGCTGCTTGGGCTGGGGCAGAAGGGAAAATTCACCAGCAAAAGACTGACTTACTTTGGTCCCAGCTGCTCCCTTGGGAAGCTGGTTCTAAGGGAGAGAGCCTAGAAACGTGTGTCACCACCTTCTCCCCCTGATGCTCTCTTCCTCCCACCTTTGCCCACTGTAGGCACTGGCTGGCCTTCTTGGCCAGTGGGGACCAGTACCTCCCGTGTCCAGCCCCATCTCGGTGGGTGCTCAGTCATGGCTCTAGCAGGTCCACAAGCCCTGGCAGGGCAGACATCTACACCAGTCTGGACTCCCTCTGAGCTCCAAATGCAGTTGGAGTCATGTTAATCATTTGTCTGTAATTTGACCATCAGTAGCATCTAGACACCGAGCTTTTTAAATGAAGCCAGCACAGCCACCAGCGCACAGCTGTCCCATCACGCTGAGCAAATCTGGAGCTTGCTGAGGTGCCATGGCCAGCACCAACTAAACCTGGTCGCCATGTGGTTCACTGCCACACAGGCTTTTCCTGACAGATGTGTACCAAGGCATCGCATACCTAATCTGAACTGTCCTTTACTAATAATGCCAAACCCTTGGCTGCTCTTCTGCAGGGACTGGCCACAATCAAGCTCAAATATAACAACTTTTACAGCAGTTTCCTGCTGCAAGAGGAACAAACTGATGAGCTACCCTGATGTCCAAACCCAAAGGCAGTGGCACCAAGCACAATCCCACTAACACTCTCTATGAACTGGTACAAACCCTGGTGGAAGCAGCAGCAGTGCTGTTATTGCAGTGACAGTATGGTCCAATGTGCTCTGCAGCCATATGCTTCAGAAACATCATTAGGGGGAGTTATTCAAGCACGCCTCGGTGGTACTGCATTTTTCTAACTTCAGACAATACAAGTCACAACGCCCAGCCATGTGGCCAGCTGTGAAGGATACTGCCCAATTCATATAAAACAGAGAAAATATATTAATTATTTGATTATTATAAGTTAAATAAATAAAGGTCAAAAATAAAAGCCCCAATTCTGAAAAGAATTTGTTTTCCCACTTCAGTATTTAAAAATATAGATTTATGACTGATCAGCTATAAGTCATTTTCTGTATCTTTTGGGGGAGGGGGTGAGAACACTTTGACAAAGTGTTTTATCAGTGTTATCACCATGATAAACAGGCTTTGTCCCTGCACACCCATAAAAAAGCCTCCTTAGTACCTTTCCAGGCTAGGAAATCTTCCCTAATTTCTCTGTGGCCTTACTTTACCTCCCATATTGATCAGATCGGTTGTTTGGGTTTTTTACTGGGGACTGGACAGGAGGACAAGTAATCCTAGAGCTTCCCATTGCCTTTGGATGCTTCCATTTTTTTCAGAGTAATAATTATTTGGCCTGGAGGGAGAGGGCAAAGGGTAAAGCCATATGATATTTGACAATACTGACATCATGAATCTGAATTACTATAAAATTACTATCTTATGAGTAAAACATTCAGGTGAGGTTTTCCCCCAAAGGATCATTTGTCCTACTTGTAGAATCATCCTTCTAGGGTGATATTCAGATATCATTTTCCCTTTCTTTAGAATAATTTTCAAGTCACATTTAGAGCTGTAGAAGTGGCCACCACTTCCTCAGCATTAACCCCTTGAAACCTTTTTATGTGACCATTATGACGATCTTTCCTGGCTCAGAAGGACCTGGCAGCACTTGCAATGAAGCCCATCAGTGGTACTTCACGTGGACAAGGTGAGCCTGTGTTGAGTAACATGAGGTTCTACTTCATCCCTGCTGCATTGGATGCGTGCTTTGTCTCCATGGTTTCCCCAGTGATAACCAAGATATTGAAGGTACATGTCCCACCCACACTCCCGGTGTGATTAAAATGGGTTCAGCCTAAACATAAATCTTGATTAAAGGAAGGTTTTCATTCATTCTCCAGCATGTCCCACAGGAGCCGAGTGTCTCCTGTAACTTTGGTCAAACATAAGCATGCATTCAAAATTTGCCTTCCGTAATTCTGAGTCCTATCAAAGTTCCTTCAGCTCAAAAAAACTTTGAGCAATAGGCTTCCACCATACTCTTCTCCAAGGGGCATGAGTTTCTTTCCACTGGTGACTCAATGCTATGTTTGGTCTTTCTCCTGGACTTCCTGAAACCGTTTCTCCAAGCGATCCAGCTTGGCCAGATTCTCCTTCAGCAACTTGCTGTTCGGAACCAGCTGTAAGGCTTTCTCATAGTAGCCACGGGCAGTGATGTAGCTCCCCTACAAAGAAAATGAGCGAACAGATCTCATTCACATTCCCTGACATAGAAAGTTCATTCCTTGGGAACAGGGAAGACCGTAATACAAAGGAAGAAGAGTTTATAAAACTTAATATTGTTAGGTAACAGGAATACTTCCTCATTATGAAATGGATCACTGAGTGCCGTTAGCCTAAATTTGATCAAACACACGTGGCAAGAAGTAGATTTACATTTTTCCCTTACATTGTACCAGAAGAGTTAATTTTACTCAGCAATGGGATAGCTTAAGGATATCAGACAATGTGACTCCTTAAGACTCAAATCATAATGATATGCTAAAGTATTCAAAAAGATAAGCAACCACAGGGCAGGCTGTCTATTTCCATAATTTCATGCCAGTATTCTGCATTAGACATCTTTATTAAATTAATTAGGTAGAGAGGAATCTTAAAAGTCGACTCACGGTGACATTTTTCTAGCGTAGGTCAACAATTGAAGCAGGAAAACTTTAGAGATGGGCAGGTTGTTCTTTGCAGCCTGCCCTCTTAAAATAGGAGATTTACATTACAGGATAAATATTCCCAAGCAAACTGGTTGCGAAATTCTAGTTGGGGTGGACAGACTTTCCTTCTTCTTGGATAAAATATCCTGGGGATGCTCACTGTTCACAAACATGCAGTTCTTGGCAATCTGAAACAAATTTAGCTTTCTGTCCTGCACTTGACAGCTTAAGGAAAAGCAAAATTGTCATACCTTGATGTGCTCAATGCCTCCCATATTCATCCAGGCCTGTGCTTGGTCTGGGTTGAGCTCCACAGCCCGTTTATAGCTCTACATAAACATGAAACATTTTTAGGTTAAGAGTCTGACTCTTCAAACAAAACCAGTGCTGGAGGAGAAATAGAAACGAAGTTTCCTCTCCTTCTGATTCCATTTAAAATACGATTTCAAATTCTCATATACAATGCACAAGCTGAATTTCAGTTTCTTTACAGCAGAGGCAACATAATATAGCGCTGAGCTCATCTTGCAGCTTTTCCCTGCCCACAGCACCATATGAGGAGCCACACCAAACCCTGCAACCCTCTCCCAGCCACCCTGCACCCCTGGGGTCTCCTGCACGTCAGGGTCATCTCCTTGGGCAGGTGCCTGCCAACCACAAGCCATGCGTGGGCTGTGATGCTCCTTATCTGCAAGGCTTTAATTTGGAGCTGGCAGCAGATGATGGTACAGCCACTTGCCTGGAGGTTTCACAAGGACCTGAGGGCAGTGCTATCCTGCCCCACTGCTTCTGCCACTGTGCACGGGAGAAGCAGCAACAGGGACCTTCTGGAGTCTGTCAAACAGCACCGTTTTTATGGTGTCACAACAGGAAAGGATTCAAATCAGGATTAGACATCTCTAAGGATACTGAGAGTATTCGGAACCATCCCAATAATATTCTGTGCTATATTTAATGCTAACATAATTTCTGAGCTATCAAGCCTCTGCTTTACAGGAGAAGCCAGTCTCTCAGCTGTTAGGTAATGAGGTGAGGTATAACAACATGGTGGGCTCTCACAAGTCCCCAAGCTTCCAGCTGAGCCACCTGCAGTTGGCCATTGCCAGCAAGAGGGGCTGGGGCTGGACGGACCACGGGTCTGGTCAATGAGAAAAGGCCTAGGCTCCTCCATAATCCCACCATGACTCTGTACTTAACCTCTCAGAGCAGGGAGCTGTATTTCCACACAGGAATGAGAAAAAAGTTGCAACTAAGTCTGGCAAAGTTAGCTGCCCCACAGCTTTAGCTGTACCACTGGTGAACTGCTGAGTTCCCAAGGCCAAAAGCCAGGGTGCATGCACCAGGGAGTATGAGATGCAATGAGCTAACTCTTATCTTTTAACTGAGAAAACTATCCATAGGGCATAGAGCAGTCATACCTCAAAAGCTTTGTCAAGGAGATTCTGTTCTCTTAGCTGGTTTCCTTTAGTGAAAAAGAGCTCTGATATGACTTTTGGATCCTTTGGTTTTAGCTGAAGAGCTTTCTCTATAGCTTCAAGTGCCTGTGAAAAAGCAAGAGGACATTGTGTTACTGTATTCTGTGCCTTTCCACTTCTCACACTCTCCTCACCACTAGGCCCTCCCAGCATAAGAGTCATCTTCCTCCCTCCCTTTGCCCCACACTGTTAACACATGTGGAAATGAGTTTTTTAGGTGCCTGTGGCTGATGGGCAGCGGGGCTGACAGCAACAGGAGCAGTAAATGGTAAGAAAACCACACTGCTTAGCTTCAGTCCCAGTACCTAGATAAACAGAAGGCTTTAGTGAAAAAATAAATCTACTGGATGTGCGCTAAGGCATGTGACATGTCTCTGGAGAGACAGAGTGTAAAATTCAACCTGAACTCTGTGTGTAAGCTCTCGAGACACGGGTACCCCGCAGCCACACTACCTTGGCATAGTGCTCCTGCTTGCTGTAGATGGCTGACAGAAGGCGATAGCACTCCAGACACTCCACATCCTCGTTGAGTATATGGTTTGTCATCTTTTCAGCTTCCTTCGTCCGCCCCATCATTGCTAAAACCTGAGCCTACAGAGCCACATGATAAAGAGTTATGATCTTAAAAAGCTCAGCCCTTCTTAATACATGATGCTGCATGCAGCGGCTGGTGCTGGGCTCCTGCTTCTCCTGCTGGTGGTGTTAAGAGGCACCTCAAGGAAAGGTGGAAGGACTGACCCTTCCTAGCAAGTAAGGGGCAGGTCAGATTTTCTCTATGCCAAGTCGTCATGGTTTAACCCCAGCCAGCAACTAAGCACTATGCAGCTGCTCACTCACTTCGCCCCCTCCTCAGTGGGATGGGGGAAAGAATTGGAAAAAGAAGGTAAAACTTGTGGTTTGAGATAAGAACAGTTTAATAGACCAGAAAGGAAGAAACTAATAACAATAATAATAACAATAATAAAATGACAATAATAATAAAAGGATTGGAATGTACAAGTGATGTACAATGCAACTGCTCACCACTCGCTGACCGATGCCCAGTTAGTTCCTGAGCAGCGATCCCTGCCCCAGCCAACTCCCCCCCCCCCCCCCCCGCTTCC